AGCTCCCGTGCGGCGTTCTCGACGCTGCCGACCATGTTGTCAATCAACGCGTAATCCGGACGCTTCACCCGACCATTGGCGCCATCGTCATCGCCGCCGCTGCCGCTTCCATCATCACCGCCACTTCCGCCGGCACCTCCGCCACCACCACGACCACTGCCACCATTAGCAGCAGCAGCAGCAGCAGCAGCAGCGGCGGCGGCAGCAGCGCGCGGGCCACCGAGCTCCCGGCGTGCGTGGGAGATGCCCTCGACAAACGCATCGAGGTCGCTGCCGACCTGGTCGACGAGACCGGCCGCGCGCTCAGTGAGGACGACGGCGGAGCGCGTGCTGCTGCTTGCCTCGGAGATACTCGAGCGCAGCACCGAGCGCGCCTCGACGGCTGCGGCTGCCGCCGCTGCTGCTGCCGCCGCTTTCGGCAGGCCTAGCCCACCGCTGCCGTTGGCGCCAGCACCAAGGACAGAAGTTGTTGTGGGCGCGGGTGCAAGCGTGGTGCCGGCGGAAGAGGGGTCCTGCGCCGACGTCGAGCCCGAGGTTGAGGCGGAACTGGAGGTACCGATGCTCAGGGGCTCGCGCAGGAAGGGCCAGCCAGCGGCTGCGGCCAGGTCCCAGCCGGTGGTTGGATTCATGGTGAACACGGGGCCGCTGGCGCTTGCGCCGTCGCTGCCGGTATGCGTCGGCATGAGGTCGTCGGCGCTGCTAATGCTGCTGTTGCTGTTGATGGTGGTGGTGATGGGGTGATCGAGAATGCTGCCTCTGCCGATGGCGTGAGGCGCGGGCGACAGGTCGAGGTTGGCGGCGGCATTGCTGGTGCTGGTGGCGATGGCGGTGCGGCACGGTGGGGCGTCCATGCTCGCGTCCATGTTTTGCGCTGCTGTTGCAGCGGCAGAGCCAGGCGGCACGCTGTGTAGCAGCGGGCTGGCGCGGCTGCCGGATAGGACATGGTGCCCCTGCTGCTGCTGGTGTTGCTGCTGTTGATGTTCGCTCGGATCCCACGGGTGGGCGCGAGTCGCGTGCGCCATCGTCTTCTGGTCTGTTTTCTGTTGGAGCCAGGCGAGTCTATAATGGCAACGGTGAAGAGAGGGGATACGTCATGTGCTCATCAACATGCGCGCGCGAGGTGTCTTGTTGCGAAAGGGTGGTGCTGGGCGGCGTCGGGGTAGGCAGGCAGTGCTGAGCGAGAGCGTGCATAAGGCGGGCAGCTGCTGATGCTCGATGGTTGGTTGTCTGGCGTCGGATCTGACACGAGAGCAAACAAAGAAGACGAGAAGAGAAAAGAAAAGAGAAGAGACTGGCTATTTGTCACCGGCTGCTCAGTGCGCCCATGCAGTCGTGCATGCACGCTTGCTGGCTCGGGGCTCGTTCTGCCGTCGTCGTTGTCGCAGTCGTCGCCGTCGTGGTCGTCGCCGTCGTCGATGATGTCGTCGTTCGTCGGATTGAGCGTAGAGGGGAGGTGGAGCTGATCCATCCAACATCGGGATGGATAGATGCATGGAAACATACAAACATACGAGCGGACCATCGCCGAGCGCGCTGTGCTGAGAGCGTGTGCCATGCGATGCGATGCGACGTGTTACGTACAACATATGTATGTATGTATACACACGCACACAACACCCGTGACAGCTCCGCCCAGCGCAACGGTGCTAACGTTGGAGAGGCAGCGCCGTGTGACGACAGCCCGCCTGGTTTCGTTTCGTTTCTCATGCACAGAATGAAAACACTCCCCCGCTCCCCACCACGGCAGTCTGCATGGCAACGAGCCAAGTCTCCTGCCACCTGCACCTGCACCTCATCCCCCTCCACTCCACCCCCTGCACATTGCCCCCGCCGCCGTACCATATCCATGTAAACCCGGCCGGTCGCAACCGCTTGGGCACGAGATCACACCCACCCACACACACATACATACGTACATACACACCCCACGCGCACGCGCTCGGTCTGGAGCATCAGGCAACCAGCCCCACTCGCACAATGGAAATAGAACAAGGCCAAGTGCACACGCGCAAAACGGGAGGGGTCCAAGTCATAATAGAAAGGAGAACAAAGGGGAAAAAAGGACGAGTTGCATACAGGACGGGCCTGCAGCGGCGGGCGCTTCTTTCTGCGCGCGCCGGGCCTCCTCGTCACGTACGTAATAGGACAGGCGCCACCGCCAAATGCATGCACGCACACTTACCGCCTCGGCGGCGCGCGGCCGTACGCGCTTGCAGGCGCTGCGGCAGCGGCGGCGGCACCCTGCATCTGATCCAGCTCGGATTCGAGCGCCTTGATGGCGCCGTGGGCAGTCTCGAGGTCCTTGTTGAGCCGGTCGCGCTCGGCGATCAGGTGCTGCTCCCACTGGCGGAATCGCGCCTCCTCCATCTTGACCTGCTCTGTGAAGCGCTTGCGTAGCAGCTCCTCCTCCTCCTTGAACTTGGGGTTGTCCAGCTTCTTCACCTTGGGCTCGCCAAACTTGCGCGTCTCCATCTGCGTCTGGCGGTAGTTTTCATATTGCGTCTCCTCGGTCGTGTTGATCAGGTCGAGCATGTGCGTGCGGATCAGTAGCGAGCGCAGCTTCTTAAAGTCGCAGTGCTCCTCGTTCTCTACCTCCGATACACCCCACGGGTACGCGCGGCCCTTGACAGTGCGCCCGTCGTGCGTCTGCACATCCTCCGTCGAGCCGATAATCGAGAAGGGCATCGCCGACATGAGTGTCTTGGCGTGCTCCGCGCTCGCCTCGTCATCGTTCTCAATCGGCGGCGAGTAGACGCGGATGCCCTGATGCGCGATCACCTCGCGGATGCGCTGCTTGAACACCGCCAGGTCGTTTGGCGTAAGCGTGTCCGCCTTGGCCACGACAGGGATCAGATTGACGCGCGTGCCGAGCCGCTTCATCATCTCAATGTCCAGCGGCTTGAGCGTGTGCCCTGTCGGGCGGATAAAGTAAAGACACGCGTGCACCCGCATGTCCGTCTTGCTCTTGCGCTCTGGCTGCTGCTCCTGGCGCATGTACAGCTCGTGTTGGTCGTCAATAAAGTCGACAATTGGCGCCCACGAGTCGCGGTTGTTCACGTAGTCCCCAAACCCGGGCGTGTCGATCACCGTCAGCTTGACCTTGAACTGCTTCTCCTCCAGCTCGGCCTTGATAATGTCAATCTCCACCGTCTTGTCCATCTGCTTGGCATGGCGGCGCGTGTAATCCTTGCCCGTCGCCAGCTCTGTGCTGAAGAGTGTGTTGATCACTGCCGTGCGAACGGGGGAAATAAATGCCATTTTCATCAGCGGTTCACCCACGCCGAGGCGCAGCGCTGCCCCATTCAGCGCCAGACACTCACGGGTCGTCTTTCCCACTCCCGACTCTCCAACGACCATGAGCGTAAAGTGACCTCCCGCTTTGGCCACAATCTTGTGCCTCTGCAGGAAGGGTTAGGAAAAAACGCCTCGAGGTGCCGTGTCAGCGAGCGAGCGCGCCGAGACAGCATGTGTGGTGCAGAGGCGTAGTCACGCACCTGGTTCGGGAGGTTGGCGATTCCTGGAAGGGGTCGCGAGGGAGGAGCACACAAGGATGCGTCGAGGTGGAGGATGTCAGCATTCGTCCGGCCGCTCTACCCGTTGCCCTGCGCTCCGAACTGCCATGACACAGCCATACAGCCCCCCCTTCCGTCTCTGTCTCTCTTTGCGCTTTAAGCACAGCAGCCTCGCAAGGACCGTGCGACATGCTGCGTTGCTCCTCCCTTCGTTCCATTTAGCTGCATCCATCCGAGACGGCCAGACACCGCTCGCTCGCTCGCCTTCCGCTACTCACCGATGCTGGCAGACATGTTTGTATAGTCTGCTCTGGTCTGGTCTGTGACTTTAGCGTCTGTGCTAAAAGAGATGCAGGTGTAATGGCCAGACCAAGCTCTGTAGCATGCTGGATGTCAAGCTGAGATTAGCAAGCATGCCCGTCTCTTTGATGGAAGAATCCCAGCACACACCGCGCGCCTTCTGATGGTGCTGGTGCGGCTGTCTCTCTCTGAGATGGGAGGGGGTGTGGGGAGTGGATAGAATCGACAGATGGAGCGCGGGCGGCTGACGCAAGCGATACACACACACACTGGCCCTGTGCCTCGGCATCTAGTGGCGCGTGCGCATCCTCGCAGCGCCTTGCAAACAATACTTTACACAACAGATTCGACTGCGACCCTAAACAGAGAGAGACTGCAGCCCGGCGGACTACAGCTGTGCTCCTCTTTCTCTGCCCTCTGCCGTCTCTTCTCTCGGACGGGGCGGAACAGAATTCAATTCAATTCGCTGTCTGTCCAATCCATACACAAGTTCGCACACCCGTTGGCTCATCTCCCTCCATGTCGCTCTCGCTTCGGCGTCTCAGTTCTTTTGGCGCCGCCCCCCCTCCCATCCACCGGGTGGGTAGCTTTCGCAGCCAGAATCTCTTGGGAAGCTTGCTTGGTGCCGTCACACGTAGCACATCGGACAGCTAGCCATCTTGCTACAAGCAGTCGAGTGGCAAGCAACGGCCTCGACGGTGGTGGGTCGACTAGCAGCGTCGGAAAACAGAACGATCCCCCACCCCCACTCCCCTTTTGATCGACTCTTGACAACGCCCCGGAGGCTGAGCAGCCTGACACCTTCGCCTCGGACCCAACCTGGAGCATCAGTAAGCAGCCTTGCCGGCAGCCCACAAAGTGAGTAGTGAGCAGCTTGTTTGTTTGTTCTTTTTCTTTTGGTCAGGAGTCTCGAGGCACTGATGAGCGTCTGCTTGCGGCAAGCAAGTCCCCTTGACCGCGTCGAGCATCGACCGCCGCAAGCGCAGAGGGCAACCACCGCGCACACGCGCGCGTGTGTGTGTGCTCTTAGAGTGGCAAACGATGGCAGGCTCGTCGGAGCGCCATGCCATGCCAGGCTCCTTGGCACTCGGGGGCGACCACATTCATGTGCCCGGCCAGAATGACCGCAATGGCGCGACATCACCGCGGCTCATCGGCGCCATTGGCGGCCACAGGTCCGCCAGCGCCAGCACTCCCAAGATCGGCAATGGCACGGCAAGCGGTCATACTAGCGCATCCAGCAACAGCATCAGCACGCTTCTCGGCGACGGCGGCAGCAGCAGCTCAAACAGCGACACTTCCACTTCGAGCCCAACCAAGCCGATGATGTCCTCGCCGATCTCTGTACACGCGCAGGTCGTCCCTCCATCGAGCTCATCCGATACGTCCAGCTCGCATACAGCCCCCAGCGGCGGAAACGTCTGGAGCCTCCCTGGCGGGGCAAGTCGTTTCTTGCAGTCCGGCTCCGGATCAGCCAAGCTAGACAGCTCCTCATCCGACGCGCTCTCGTTCTTCATAACCCACAACCAGCAGATGAGCAGCTCCTCCAACGACGCCGACAACAGCTTCAACAACACACATGGCGACTTCTATCCCGGAGGGAGCGAAGCCGAGGATGGCGACACGCACGCCCAGGCGGACAGGTCATCGCATCCGTATCAAAGCGGGGGGCAGGGCAGCCAGGAGCGCCAGGGCGCGACGGGCGCCGGTGCTGGGACGGCGGATACATCGGGCACGATGTTGTCCACCTCTGGCGGCACGCTGCATGCGCGGGGAGCAGAGAGAGATACAGGCGCAACTGTGAGTCCGGCACTCAACGGAAGCTCCGGCGGCTCCGGAACGCCGCACCTGTCGGAATACGGCACGCCGCGCCTATACCTCGACGCGACAGGTGACTCAAACTCGCCAGGGACCAGCGGCCATGCTTCGCAGCAGCAGGGCAGCGCCGGCGGGAACAGCGATGCGCTGCGCGGAAGCGGAAATGCCTCCGCCGAGGACGCCAACGTGACGCCTCTCGCGCGGCCCCATGCGCTCAACGGCACTGCTGGCAGTTCGCATGGAGCCGGCCAGCAGCAGCCCGGTCACGTCGACCGCCTTGCCATCATCCGGGAGAAGAATGCGTCGCGCGCAGCTGCAGCGGCTGCGAACAACCCGCAGCAGCATGCTGCCGACGCCGACGGCAATACCCCCATACGCGAGGTCGCCAACCTACCCGCCGTGTCCAAGAGCCCCCAGCGCGTGGATAGTGCAGGCGGCACATCGTCAGACGGCGAGCACGCGCAGCATCACGCGCATGCAAACAGTTACCAGCAGCAGTCCAATCTTAGCACGATCACATCGCCGCTTGTTCTCACGGGGATCAATGGATGGGGCATCGGCGGCAGCTCAGAAAGAGGCGGCGCAGCAAGCGCGCAAGGCTACGGCAGGTCCGGCACGCCGCTGCTTTCGCTCCCCGGCCCCGTCTTCGACACCTCGAACGCTGGCATCGGAGGTGCTGCTGGCGCAGTCGCAGCAGGCGCCAGCCGCTTTGGCAGCCTCGCCGGCGGCCTCCTGTCGCCTTCCACCGCGACTGTCGGCTTCGGCGCCGGTCCAGGCGGACAGCCCAGCGCGGCGTTTTCACCCATTGCCAGTCCGACGGCCATGCAGCAGGCCGGCGGCTCCTTTTCACAAGCGTTCGGAGGCCCGCCAGGGCACGGCCAGCAACAGCACTCGCATTCACATCCGCATGCTCTTGCGCATCCCCACTCCTACCCGCACTCCCATGCGCATCCGATAGCCGGCACAGCCACAGGTCCGCACTCGTCTCTCTACACACCGCAGCCGCAGCCGCATGCGGGCGGCGCGCTACTCGTGCCGTCCGAGTATGACAGCCCGCTGGACCTGCGGCTGAAGCAGTCGCCGCTGATCATTGAGCTCGTCGATCGCCTCGTGCGCCTCGAGATCGGGCTCAAGGACCTGCAGCGCCAGGTAGGCGGCATCTCGCGCAGCGTCAACTACCTGCAGGATCGTGCACGTGCGTCGGGCGGCGTTGCCGGGGCTGCCGCGGTCGGTGCCTCTGGTGCCGGTGGCATTGGTGGCCCGGGCGGAGTCTATACGAGAGCGCAGAGCCCGCAAATCGGAGGCTATGCTGCGCGCACGCTCGACGGCCTTCCTGCTGCCTCGACCGACGAGATCCGGAATCTGAGCGCGCAGCTAAGCTCGCTGAGCACCAGTGTCGCGCAGCTCTTCCAGTCCCAGCAGCAGCTCCAGGGCGGCCTACCGCTGCCACAGCATGCGACGTCCCCATTGATCCCAAGCGGCGCATCGGCCTTTGGCGGCTCGCAACAGCAACGTCTTGCTGCCAGCATCGACCCCAGCAGCCGCCTCAGCCCGCGGCCTTTCCAAGGTCCCGCGCCAGGCAACCGCTTGAGCTGGGGCGCTAGCGCAGAAATTGGCAGCGGCGGCTCCAGCGGGCCTGGTGGCGTTAGCAGCGGCGGTGTGGGCGGCAGGAAAGCAGGCGGATCCAGTCGCAGGGACAGCAGCAGCATCGGGGCAGGTGGAAGCGGGTATGGAGATGATGCGCGCTCTGCCTCCTTCTCGCAGAGCGCAGCGGGCATCAACGGCGCGGCCGGTAGCGAAGCGAACTTTGTCATCACCAAATGGGATCACCTCAACTTGCACCCGGACCTCCTTCGATCCGTTCTCAAGTACGGCCTGGGGCCGCCCAACAAGATCCAGCAACGCGCCTTGCCCTTCCTCCTCCGCGGCAACGACATCATCGCACAAGCGCCCCCGACGCAGGAGCGCATCGCAAGCTACGTCATCCCGGCGCTGCAGCACGTGCTCAGTGCGCTGCGCGAGCCCGGCATCCCGAGTAATGCGCGCGGCCCCATCGTGCTCATGATCAGCACGACCGTCGACCAGGCGACGCAGGCGCAGCGCATGGCGCTCGGACTTGGCTCGCCCATCGGCCTGCGCGTGCACATCGCCGCCGCTGCCGGGATCGACATCGCTTCCGAGCTGCAGACCATGGCACAAATCAACCCGCACATTGTCATCGGCACACCACAGAAAATGAGCGAGCTCTTCACGCAGCTCGTCGCGCGCAACGCTCTGCCGGCCAACGACGTGCGACTCGTCGTGCTCGACGAGGTTGACCAGCTCATCGCGCGCAATCTCTCTGATCACGTCTCGAGTCTACTTCGCGTGCTTCCTATGCCGCGCGCAACGCCAGGGGCCAAGGGCAGCCTGATAAGCCCCGCTGCTTCCTCGTCGGCAAAGAATGGGTGGGACAGCATCAGCGTCTCTTCGCCCGGCGGAGCATCCGCCGCCGCTGGAGGAACCGCCACGATGGACCGCCAGACGGCCATCTTCTCTAACACTGTTCCACAAGATGTGCTCAATTTCGCACAGTCGATCCATCTGCGCGAGTCCGTCCGCGTGCTCGTGCGGCGTGAGAACTCGAACATGATCGGCGGCGGTGGTGGTGGTGGCGGAGGGCTGGGTGGGGGCAGCGGCATGGGTGGAGGCGGTAGCGGCGCTGGTGGCGGCTCAGGGTTAGGTGGAGGCCCCGCGTCGAGCATTGGCAATGGGACTTTCGGCGCAGGTTCGACTGCAGGACCTTATGGCTCGCAGTCGATGGGGGGCTTTGGCGGGAGCAGGGTGCAGGCTGCGCCGTCCGGCGCCATGCCGCCCTCCAACGCGCTCGGCTCTACGCCCATGGTCAACATTAGCGCCAACCCGCTCGCCGACCCAATGCTCTCCGCCCTTCGCGGTCTGCGCCAGTACTACCTATACGTCGCAGTCAGCGGCAACAACAATGCCACCGCGATGGGCGGGACAAGCTCGGCGCTTGAGATGAAGCTGGACGTCATTACAGACCTGCTGGAGGACATGGACTTTGGGCAGGCAGTCATCTACACCGCTGCCCCAGGTACGACGGAGGCTGTCACGTACAAGCTGTCTAGTAAGGGTATCGAATCGCTTGCCGTGGTGAGTCACCGTTCCATTCTGCCAGGTTACAGAGGGATGCATCTGACCGTGTTTGATCTCATCTGCTCGGTCTGACCAGCACAAAGACATGGCATCCGCCACGCGTGCGCGCATACTGCAAAAGTTCCGTGCGCCTGGCTCGGCATTTGTATCGCATGGTAACCCATTGACACCCGCACGCAAGGCGCTGGTCATCAACGACACGGCGCTGAGCCCGAAGGAAGTCCATCAGGTTCCGCTCGTCGTGTTCTACGACCTTCCGCGCTCCGTGGAAGAGTACAAGGAAAAGTGAGGCGCCTCTGCTTCAGGCTGCGTCCTTTAGAGTGAAGCACTGGACTCACTGACCCCGCCACTTGCATTATTTTCGACACAGACTGGCATGCGCATCTTCGAACGGCCTCAGTCGGCCTGGCGTGTGCGTGAACGTCGTCACTGCTTCTGGCGGGCCCAAAGGTGACATTGAGATGTTGCGCACGCTCGAATGCCATCTCGGCTGCAAAATGGGTGAGTGGGAGGGGCGTCGAAGGACTTGAAAAGCGAATTTGGGGACCGGTGCTGACTCTGTGCGACGCTCGTTCCTTCTCATCCCGACTCTAGCTGAAATGCCGATGGACCCGCGATCGATCCTCAATTATTGAAGTCGTGTCCGGCTCTAATTAAACCTTACGACATTGACGTTATGAACATACTCCATCACCCTGCATGTCAAGACGCAATTATCAAGACTATCGATTCCCACTTTGTCCAACGGTCTTATTGGGAGAGTCCATTGCGGTCTCTTCCCGGCACCGCGGCTCTTGGCGCTACCTGCCGAATCGCTTTTCGAAGTGCAGGCGCGGACCGAGTTGCGCGCCAGCAGGCAGACCCCTCTTGGACTTGCAACTGGAACAAGATCGAGGAGCGATTCATGAACAAGAACGAGAGCAATCAAGAATAAACTCCTCATTTTCCATCCTTTTGATTTGTATCCTACGAAGAAGTTCCCGCGGTCCGCTCGTGGACACCATAAATGTATGCCAGACCCATCAGAAAGACCGGTTCAGATGACCCCCACTCTTGACTAGCCTTCACCCCGTCATTGCCTAGCTCCATTGGTGTTGCCGACCGGCGTGAAGGGGAAAAAGACGCCAATTTCAGCAACAGGACGTTGTCACCACCTAAGGCCATTCCAACACGATACTTTTGTATGCCACCATCGCCTCATCAACAGCAGGTAAGTCGAGCGCAGCAACAGGCGCGATGCCCGGAGGGATGTGGTCGGTCGAAGTGGAGAGTCACATGTCGGATTAGAAGTCTGTCCTTCTGGAAAGTAGGGTTAGCACCTCTGGATGCTGAGTGTTGCCGAACCCGCGCCGTGATCGCTGCTTTGACTGCTGATATGCCCCAGCCAGAAGGTAGTGGTGGATGTGACGTCAACGCGCGCCATGGCAAGACTCTCTGCCGTTGGGCAGTGGGTGGCTCCTGCTTAGTGCCTGCTCATCATCGCCTCTGTGTTGGCACTGCTGTGCCCTTTGGTGATGAAAGCTGGTGGCGAAGGATGGCTGTGCACTCGGTCGGGCTGGCTGTATGCGAGGGGGGCGCATCTGGTGAGTATGCGGAGTTGCTCTCGACCCAAATTGCCTCGATGCGTGCTTCTCTCGCATGCTGGTGCTCATGAAGAGGTGAGGTAGAGGGGAAATGTCGAATTGAGAATCAAATGGAAGATCGACATTCGAGCTGCCGGGGTCCAGACTCCGGGCTCGGGGGGTATCCGTTGGTTCGCACTGATGCGGTGATGATGATCTTGCCAGTTGTTTTGGCGTTGTCCCGCGTCTGTTGCCGGTCGCGCAGTGGACATTTTGGCTGGCCGATGCCTGTGAGCTACAACCATATGAGATTGTGCATGCACCAACTTCGCTTGGCAGAGAGAATGTGTGTAGTTACGTATTCCTTGGGAACATCTTCATTGGTATCCACTCAACACTTGTCCTTTCTCTGCTTGTTGCGGTACATGATATTCTGCCTGACAAGCTGGATATCAGACCTGACTGATTTGCAGTCATATCCACCCTCTTGGACTTCGCTATCGAAAAAATCGTCGTCGTCGCCATTGTCTAGGACGATCGTCCCGGACATTGGCTTCCGTTCGCATCGACATTAACTTTCCGCACTACGGCCGGGGCTCACGTCTATTCTGACCATCGCGATCGTTGGCCCGACGCTTCCCGCACATTGGATGGCTTCCACACTTCATCCGAAAGGATTTTAAGCCTTTCATCGCCTCGTAGCTGGAACCCTTGAGGACTTCGCCACTCGCTCTCCGAGGTGTTATTCATCCAGCACCGCCCAAGGCAGGCTTCCGGCGCGGAGGCAAAAGAAGGAAGATACACCTTCCGGCAACATCTCGCGTCACCCCGAATCTCTTCCCAACGCACAGGTCTACGAACCCCCTTGCGGCCTTGAACGCCAGCTCCGCCGGATCAGAGCCGGGCCAGCAATCACAGGCTTTCAGCATGGATTCTCTTCTTTCCAGCTCGGTGCGGTCGTCGCACATTGCGGACAGCCGCCTCCTTTCAAACCTCATCCGTTCCGAGAAGGACCATGTCTCGCACCTATCCTCCGTAGTCGCAGTCTCACACGCTGCTGCGTCTGCCCTGGCAGCGTGGGGCACCTCCGAGGTCTCCGACGTCGCTGCTACAAGCGAGGAGCTCTCCCGCCTCCTGCATGAAATTGCCGAGGCGCAGCGCACCCATGTTCAAGCCATCGAGGGCTGTCGCGCGGCACTGAAGGACGTGCTCGATCGCGAGGCAAGCATCCGCGACGTTGTGCGTGACCGCGACATCCTCATCAACCGCCTGATCAAGGCAAGCAAGAAGAAGGTCAAGGATGGCCGCGAAGACACCCGCGCGGAAAAGGTCCACGACGCCCAACGGGAACTGCAGGCTTGCGAACAGATCTTGGCGTCTGAAGAGGCGGCGCTCATAGGCGTCAAAAGGCGGACGTTCAAGGAGGCACTGACGATGCGTATGAAGACCATGGGCGATGTCGGAAACGCCATGGTGGAAGCTGCTCAGGAAGCCATACTGCTCCTAGATGAGTTCGACAGCAACGCAATGGGTCCGCAAAGCGGCAGAATCGGTCCCACCTCTGGCGGCGACATTGGCTATGCACAGGATGGCGGGGCTTACCATGCTTACACTGATGGCGAGCAATTCTATGGCAGGCCAGCGTACGGACAAGAGAATGAGTATGACCAGCGGTACATGGATGGTGAGGAAGTGTACGCCAACGACCGCATACATCTAGCTCACTGGCTTCTACCCTCTGCGCTTTCAGGCCATCACCGGCAGTTCAGCGCCCACGACTCTTCGGCTGCACTGGAAAACGCAAGCGTCACCCCCTCGCAATCCGCCTCGCAGACGGCCACTGGTGCATCTGGTGCTGCGCCATTTTTCACAGGTCCCAACAACGGACCGCTTCCCGCGCCGCATCGGCTCGGCCCGAATGTGGGCACCGGTGGTGAGGCGTTCATACCTCACGGTCAGCAGGCGCAAGAGAGCGATGCAAGATCGAAGACGCCGATGCCGCCACCCCCTGATCACCCCTACGCCGCTAACACCCACAGCAACACGAATGACGCTCATTCTCAGCAAGGAATTAGTCTGGTCGCTCTTCCCCAAGCCTACCAGCCGGGCCAGCATCTGCACGTGCAACATGAGTACCAGAACGAGCAATCAGTCGCTCCAACTCCGCCTAAGAAGGATGTGCGTACCGCCAATGGTGCACAGTACCAACAGCAACAGCAGCCGCAGCGCCCTGACGAAGAGAGCTCGTCGGAAGATGATGAGCGGCCGACGACTGCACATGCTGGTGGTGGCGCACGTGCCATGCGCATCGGCCATGGCGCTCCAGGCGGCGGTGGTGGTCATGCACGCAATATCAGCACAGACATGTCCAGCTCTTTTAGGTCGCACGACAGCCCTGTACCATGCCCCACCCGCGGCAGCGGCTCTCGCGCAGTGAGCGAACGCGATCCGAAGAAGAAGCCGAGCGGATTTTTAGGTCGTGTGGGCAAGCTGTTCAAGACGGACGTCAAGGAGGCTGTAGCGCTCGTAGGGACACCTTCAAGCCGCGGTCGGCGCGATGACGGCAGCGACGACGGAGATGATGGCTATGCAGGTGCCGGCAACACGACTTGGCACACGCGCACAGACTCAAATCTGCGCTCGGCGCGTGCAAGTATTGCCGGCGACCTTTCCTCCAGCGGGCTCACGCGTAGTGGCTCCAGGCGACAGAGCTTGCTGAAAGTCCACGCTTTCCCGTCCTCTCGTCACAAAGGCGATGACGGCGATGGGAGCAGCTCCGAAGAACCCGATCCCTCATCGCTGGTCAAGCACGTCAACCAGCCCAAACCGATGTGGAACAAATCCGTTGACTCTGGCACCGGCCTGCTCTCCCTCGGTTCGTCATCCAAGGGCAAGGGAAAGAAAGCTTCTTCAGACAATAGTCCCTCGCCCTTTCGCCGATCTAAGAGTTTGCTGAAGCGATCGGACAGCTCAGCTAGCAAGGCAAGCATCATCGCCGGCCCGCGCAGCTCGAGACAGAAGCAGGAAGAGGACGACCTGCTCCAAAGGGCGAGAATGAGCGTCATGAGCGCTGGTCTGCCGACAGTGCGTGCCCCTTCTTCTGCCGTCGACGTCTCCACCGTAAACACTGCGCCGAAAAAGAAGAAAAAGCGCACCCCTTCAATCAGCGGCAGTGAGATCGGCACATCTGCCACGCGGATGGCGCCCACTGCAGCCAGCGCCTCGACTAGTGCACTCCTCGCGCAGCGAGCTGTTGGCCACGGTTCAGTCAAGCGCAGCTCCACCGTCATCGTGTCTGGCGACGCCTCGAGCGGCATGCGCCGCTCCGACTTGCTAAACCCTGTCGGAAGAGGCAGCGTCAAGAGCAGCAGAACCAAGCAGAGGCAGAGCCTCAGCGGCAACGGCTTGATGGAGGCCAAGCACGCGACGGGTAGCTGGGTCGCCAAACCTGTTGATGCGACCGCTGGCTCTGCAGCGCCGAAGAAAGCAACGGCTGCTGCTGAAGTTGTTGCAGATGCAGGCATCGTTCCAAAAGGCCAGGGAGTTCCTACGAGCCAGGCTGTTTCGACAGCTACGCAACACGTACAGGAAAATGCGTGCAACACGTCCAATCCAGTTTCGCGCTCCAAGGGTCCGCTTAAGCCAGCGCTCAAGAACTCTCTCAGCAGAAGCAACAGCACTGCCTCTAAAGCCGGTCGTCGACCGCCAATCCCGGACATGGGGCCTGTCATCCAAGCCCCACCGCCAGCTACGTCATTGCTGAACGTGGACAACCTCTACAAGGAACCCGTGGCTTGTAAAGTGGACATTCCGCCGCCAGCAACTACACCCACGCCGGGCACTGCTGCTGGCAACAGCCAATCCGAGAAGACCCGCAGCGAGTTGCCCAAGCTGCATGAGCTCAGTGAAAAGCGCACACACGAAAGCGACGACGACAATGAAAGCTTTAGTAGCGCCAGACCTGGGTTGAGCGCGCACAACAGCTACCGATCCGTCAACGAGCGGCCAGCCCTTGCGACAGCTGGCAGCTTCGATGGCACTGGAACTCTGAATATGCAGCTTGACGGCGCTGCCTCTGGTGGCAATCCTGCTGTTGCTACCCCTGAGCAGTCAAACAAGCTCGAGACGCCAAAGAGGCAAGCATGCCAAGGCTCGCTCCCCCGTCTTGAGATGCCCATCTGCGAACCATTCTCCATCTCGCTTGATGGCCGCAAGAACTCGCCCGCCCAAGTCCATGAATTGGATGGCGGCCTCGTTACCCCAGGCGAGCAGCAAGCCATCCAAAAGCTGCTTGCTGCTGGAGAAGAGGCTGACGCTGCCGCTGCTCAAAAGCAAGCGACGCAACTGCAGCAGCAACAACGCCACGCCGACGGGGTAACTCGTACCACTGCCAGCAGGACCAAGTTCGGCTCCAGTACCGCCAGCGGCAAGCTGACGCCTAGCCGTGTCTACGGAAAAGGCGCGCCTGAGCTCAGCAGCAGTGATGAAGAAGACTCTCCGGCGCCAAAGCAACTGGAATTTGGCTCGTCACAAAGCACCGCTGCGACCAGCGCGACGGCGCCGTCCACTTCGACGGCAACAGCCGCAACGACCATGACACCGCCGCCTATGCTGCACTCTGCCATGCGCTCGCACTCGCCTGCGCCCAAATCAGCACTGAACATCAACACGACCGGCTCGGTCGTCAGCGATGCCTCTGGTAGCGGCGGCGGTCGCCGCAAGAGCGTGCGGCTAGCCCCGGACACGAAGCTTCCACCGGAGACGCCAACATTGCCTGGTCCGGACGCAGGTAGCATGTTCCAGGTCAGCGCGCCAGGGTCAAGCATCTCCGGTGGGATCCCAACGGCGAATCACAGCAGCACGAAAAATGGAGCCTCGCAGCTCAGCTTACGCATCGCCCCACCGCCAGCTGCGCCTTCACGCATCATGCGCGAACAAGGCCCTATCGACCTCGCTGCTGACTGCGCCTCGTCCAGGTCGAGTTGGACCACGCGCATCGGGGTGCAGCATGACGACTCGTCCGACGATGATATTGCTGTTGGCGGAGATGATGAGTATTCGAGAGCTAGGCGGGCGTTCAGCTCAGCCAGCATGCACTTGGGCAAGGCAACCGGTAGCATTAGTGCGTATGATATTCATTCGACGTTATATGTGGGCGACGCCCTCCAGCTGACTTTGATTCTCTCTGTGACTTGGCAGAGGCCAAAGCGAAAGCTACTGCCGATGGCGATAGCATCAGCAGCAAAAAGAAGAAGCGCTTAAGCAAGCAGGACTTCGGCTACAACCCCGATGTGCCACTCCCTCCTACCATGCAAGTCGTCGGCCGAAGCTCAAGCACGAGAAGATGATGAAATCTAGAAACCCGGAACCCGTACCCGCAATGTTGGAAGGGGCTCCGAGCATCGGAGACCGGTTCATTTATTCACTCTCTCGCGATCAATACCCTCCTTTACAACCCTATCGAGAGTCCGGAAAAGCAATCCTGCGAAACCACACAGTCTTGGGCAGAAAATATGCAGTCAATGCTCACATATACACACCTTGAACAGTCTTTCTATTTGTTCCCCACGTTCTCTGCATACTAAATAGCGATGTCTTACGTCTGCCTATGGATACCACGCTCTCGTTACGTTGTACGACAGAGGTCCCGTCTTCGGCAGGCACCTTTACACATTCCTTCGTGCCCCCATTGAAGGGGAGCCGGTGATGCCTGGCTATATGTGGTCGGTATGTCCAGTCGATCTCGCGGGCCCGTTACTGCCATGTCAGCAACCTGGCCATCATTGGGAAGAAAGAACAGATAAGCAGAGAAAAGACCGGGTCGCAGAAAGCGATGATGCGGAATTTCACGCTTGCGGTATGATACAATGTCGGATATGCAATGCAAGATTAGGAGCGGTACGAGGCTGGTGAAGGTGGTGAAACATATTGTCAGCATCTGAATAAGTCCATTAATCCATGGAGGGAGCACTTACGATAGTGCAATTTCGTGTTGCAGTGCGTCCTGCTGTGGTTATGAAGCGCGGGCAACCAACTCGCCTCCAAGGCCTCTCTGAATAGCATCCTTGACTTCAAACCACCCAGCTGACCCGCAATTGACAAGACCAATCTCTCCTAGAGTTAATGGCTTGACGAACTTTGCTCTTCTGCCTGTTGCAAAGCGTAGCAGCTCCCCAGTATCCATCACGAGCCGCCGCGAAGGTTTGGATATGAGTGACATGTTTCCCAGGACTGGCCGCTCGTCCATGCGGTACTTGAGGTCGATCCATAAGCGTCGGTCCGCGATCCCCGCTTTGTTCCAAGTGGCTGGCGACGGGCCGGCAAGTGTGCCGCGGGTGACGTTGTAGATGAAGCCTTGCTGAAGCAGGATCTGCGCCATGGAGAGATTGTCCTTGGTTGCCTGGACAGGAACGGAACGAATGCGAGCGCGGGCGGCATTTTGCAGCCGCACACAAAAGTCACCATAGAGTGGCATGGTTGCTTTTGTACACCCAGTGTGGATGAATTGTCGACCAGTATGCTTTCTTTGCGTTTTCCTTTATCCAGGACAGCAGGCGGTGGTGGAAATTGCGAGGAAGACATCGAAGATGAGAAGCATGAAGATGGAGCAGAGAGAGACAGAGAAGGCGGAACGATGAAATTGCTCGGGAGAGAATGACGATGAGCATTGTGCTCTTTGCCTTCCACACTTCACTCCTTCATCGTTGTACCTCTCCTTCGAGTGCAGCACCGTTCCGTACGCTTTCTTTTGAAGTACGCCGCACTTCTTGTTCGGGTACCGCGCCGTGCCACCTACTTGGCCTTCCCTCAAACATCCATCGGTTTTAATTAGAAGCGAATCGCTTTGAGGTCGCTCTTTTCGCGCCGTGGACAAGATGCCGCTGTCGACAGCGGAACTGAAGGAGTGCGCAAAAGGACTGAGCAAGGCGGTCAATGAATCTCAGTGGAGGGTGAGAATGAAGCAGATGCGGTGCTCGCGACCGGCAGCTGAATAATCAAGTTCACCCTTTCAGGATGTCGAAGCACTGCTCAAGAAGCTCAGGGATCAGGCAGAGCCGACGGAGGAATTGATTCGGGTGCGTGTAACCCTGAGATGGCATGCCCTTAGCCAGCTCCTGACACATTCTTCTGTGCTCGCAGTCCACGAAGCTTGGGAAGACGATAGGTCCACTACGAAAATCCAACGATGCGGCGATCGCAGATTTGGCCAAGACCATCGTGAAGAAGTGGAAAGCCGTCGTGGGTGCAGAGAAAGGCTCAACGGGCAAGCCGGACGCGAGGAAAGGCATTCATGCCGCCGAGGGTTAGTTGAAACCTGGAAACTGTGCAGCACCTGACCTTTTCGCTCACATATTATCGCTTTCCTTTTACCTGTTAGAATCAGCATCACCAGCAAGCAAAGGTGGGAGTGCGCCAGCACCAGCAGCCGCCTCGCCAGCAGCGTCCAGTTCTCCAGCTCCAAGCGCCGTCAAGAAGGATTCCACAGACACAACGAGTGGATCCGGGCCCACGAGGGATAGCGCCACCCCATCCAAGCCCGCACAGCCGATAAACTTCGAGTGCCTGCAAGACAAGGTGAGGAATGCATGTCTCAAGCTTCTACACCAGAGTCTCGAGGCAGATTACAGAGGAGGTATGTGGTCGCGTGACCGGGTGTGGTAGGGTCAGAAATATTCATATGCTACTTCTAATTGGTGGCGCAGACAAATCTTTGGTGTTTGAAGCCGCACTAGCAGTCGAACGCTCATGCTACACTGTCATCGGGAAGAGTTCCACATGCAACGAGTACAAGTCCAAGGTACGATCTCTCTCTCTCAACCTAAAGGACAAGAACAACCCGGAGCTGCGGAAAAGTGTTGTAGATGGGCGCATTTTGCCGGACGATCTCGTTAAGATGTCTGTGGAGGACATGGCGAGCGACGCGCGGAGGCAAGAACGACAACGACTTATGATTCAGAACTTGTTCAACGCCAGAGCAGCGGAGGAGCAACAGGCAGAAACCGACGCGTTCGAGTGCTCAAGATGCAGGCAACGCAAGACCAGATACTACCAAAAGCAGGTGCGTGACATTCCGCTATCTCCGGCCTGGACGATACGCGCTGACCGCATCCCATACTTCGCGCTCTTGATTCGCATTTGGACGTGCAGACGAGGAGCGCGGATGAACCGATGACAGGTAGGCATCCATGCCACAAGTGTTCGCTACGCATTATGCTCATTGTCGCGTCATGCTGCTCTCCTTCCCCCAGTCTTCGTCACTTGCGTCAATTGTAACTACAGGTGCGTGACGCGCTGCTTTTTATATGCTTCCAAGATTTTTGGGCCTCCAGCATTTACTGACATTGAATATTGCATGACCAGGTGGAAGTTCTCATAGATCATTCAGTGACCATCCATCAGCAAGCATAGAGCCCTCTTGGTTTCATTTTCACTATTCTCACTTTTTTCTCACCCTTGTATTTTCGGTCGATTGTTGTATTCTACCCGCATCGACAACTCTGTCGAGGTGACATTGCTGTCCGGCCGTATATATAGCGACCATCTAGTATTAAAAAAAAGTGGAGAGGTGAGAGGATGAAATGTCTTCGTTCCGCTATACGAAAGCGGAACCAGTCAATCACAGGGAATGCTGTGGTCCTGTTGAGGATTGTCGAATGCCTGTCGTCAAGGCGATTTGAAGGAATACCTAAAGAATGAGGGTGGTACCTTGCTAATTGCGATGTATATACAGCGGTAGACGCATGGCGAAGACGGCCTCTCGCAACGTATCGGGTCTCCTGGACGTGTGCGAATTCCAGTCTTCGACGAGGATGGCGACGTCTACCCAAGCGCCGCCGGCGCAGAATGGCCACTCAGGGCTATCCGCGACTGAAGATCCATTACCCCCGCTCGAGGGTCTGGCTCGATTGGCAAGCAAACGAGCGCGGGCCATCTTCTCAGAGCCGAATCCAGCGGATGTCTATTCAGAATCACGAAAAGCTCGGCTGGCATCCAAGGTCGCTGATGAATATGCACACGCAAAAGAGCTTCCAGCAGCTGTGCAAGCACAGCAAGGCGCCGTCGGGCCTGCACTGCCGGGGGGCAGCAAGAAGCGAAAAGGGACGGATGGGAGCGCAACTGCTGAGGGGCAGCTTTTACAGGAGCTAGATAGTGCATCCCCATCAAGCTCTCAGCCGGGGCCCTCAGATAGAGTGGTTGCCATCCGACGAGCAGAAGGGTTCGCGTCTGCCAACGGAGGGGGCACGACGCTATCAACAGCGTTGATTCGGAAGAAGGAGGCTGCCTCTCGGATAGAAAAGCCGCAATATCATCCGCAATGGAAGTTGATGCGGGTCATCTCTGGGCATTTGGGTTGGGTGCGCTCGCTCACAGTCGAGCCAGGGAACAAGTGGTTCGCTACTGGTGCTGGCGACAGGATGATCAAGGTGAGTAGACGTCTTCGTGCTCTTACTCCTGTGCCGAATAGAGCTGACTTTATTTTCCTATGTTAAGATCTGGGATCTTGCCTCTGGAGAGCTGAAGCTCAGCTTGACCGGCCACATCTCAACAGTGCGCGGCTTGGCAGTTAGCAACAGGCATCCTTATCTATTTTCAGCCGGAGAAGACAAGGTCCGGAATGACTGATCCTGAAGCTTCATATGTGCATCTACTGATTATGCGTGCATCTCTTTCGCTACAGGTTGTGAAATGCTGGGATCTGGAGACGAACAAGGTCATCCGCAACTACATTGGCCACCAATCGGGCATCTACTCGCTGGCCTTGCATCCGACGCTCGATGTCGTCGTCACCGCCGGGCGAGACTCAGTCGCAAGGGTGTGGGATATGCGGACGCGGGCTCAGATCCACGTTCTTGGTGGTCATAGCGGTACAGTTGCCAGCGTCGTATGTCAAGAAGCCGATCCGCAAGTCATCACCGGCAGCATGGACCAAACGATTCGCCTGTGGGACCTGGCGGCGGGCAAGTCGCTGACGACGCTCACGCACCACAAGAAATCGGTGCGTGCACTTGCGCTGCATCCGACGGAGTTTTCCTTTGCTTCTGGCTCGGCTGCGGGGAGGAACGTCAAGACGTGGAAATGCCCAGAGGGGACACTGTTGAACAATATGACCCAAGATGGCATCGTCAACACGCTCAGCGTCAATGCGGACGGAGTGCTGTTCTCCGGTGGCGACAATGGGAGCTTGAGAGTGAGTCTTGACTAACCCCTATGATGATGTCTGCTCCGGCTGCAGTGCTGATTCCCCGCTGCTCGCCGCTGCAGTTCTTCGATTACTCGACAGGCGTGCCATTCCAATCAGCAGACGACATACCTCAGCCAGGTTCGCTAGATGCGGAGGCGGGTGTCTTCTGCTCTGCGTTCGATCAGAGTGGCACAAGGCTGCTGACCGGTGGAGCAGACAAGACTATCAAGGTGTACCGAGAAGCGCTGTGAATGTACCCACTACTGTTCCCCGTTACATCCGACAAGCACTCTTGCACTTAAGCGGCGCAGAGGCACAGCATGAGTGACATAATGTGGCATTTTGCATTCCCCTTGATCTCTTGTTGAAACAACACGATACGAGCAACCGCACAAGCGGCTGGAATCCATCCCGGAGCCAGACTAAACAGAGACAAAAGTGCGGGATGTACATGTCCCATTCGATAAGCAGGCAAGTGCATGCACAGGCAAAAGCGCAGGTTGAAGCAGGAGCAGCAGATGGGCCGGTTCCTCGTGTCGGCGGCTTGATATGCTGAGTGTGTTGATATGGATAAATAATGAAGGATCCCAGAGGTGAACGACGAAAATGTGGCTGAAATGGATTATCCGCGGAACATGCTACTTCCTCCACCAAAGTGTGACGCGAGCATGTTGACCTCCATAGCGGTGCACGGATCGTGGACCGAACGTCCGGCGTCAAAGTAGGCGCCAGGCGTGTCGACGCTTCCGAGATCGAGGCAAGAACTCCATTGGAAGTCCTGCAGGGTCAAATCCAGCAGGAAGCCAGTCGCGCCAGTGTGGCTGGTCATCATAGGGACGTGTGCAGTTGCGCTGACTGCCCCCGTCACCGTGGACTCGAACGACATTGGCCAGCTGCTAAGCGTGCTGTGCAAAGTCAACGCACTATCCTGCTTTTCCAGTATTGATTCTGGCATGGCAAGCTTCAACTGCTGTTCATGCTGCTGTTGGCTATCGTGCATGCTTGGTGCGAATTCGCACAGTGGGCTCAAGAGAGCCGCGGCACAGTCCTCGTCAGCGAAGCTGCTGAACAGGCTGGACGCCACATCGGCGGAGGATGCAGTAGTCGCGTTACTTTGAGAGCGCATCCGCTGGATCGCAGGCATGTCCCACGAGCAGGTGGCGGAGACAGGCGTGTTGATATCACTCTCCGGCCCGCCGCTGCTCCAAGACGTCCAGGCAGATGGGCTAGCCGCCGTGTCCGGCGCCATCGCCGTCCCCGATCTGCTGCACCCGACAAGCGACGGCAGCTGCATGGAGGAGCTCCAGGAAAAGTCAGATGGTGCGATGGATGCCAATGAGGGAGACCGTTGCTGCTGTTGTTGCAGTGAAGGCTGATGGTATGCGTCATCATCTTCTGGGGATGCAGGGATGGTCAACGCTGCGGCCTTCATGACCGCTTTCTGCGCGGCATTCGCAACCTTCTTGGACGGCGCTTTGCCCTGCTGAGCCTTGCTGGGCTTTCCAACAGTGGTGCAGCGCTTGCACTTGCTTGTCTTGGTGCATTTCATACACACTGTGGATCCAGCAGTAAGGCGGACTGTTAGAAATGGCCTTTCATATGCGCATATACTCTGTACGAAACTCACCTTTCATCGCCTTTTGCGGAAATTCACTTCCCCCCAGTCCCCTCATATGTAACCGGGAGTGTCTCACGAGGGAGTCTTGGCGTGTGAAGCTCTGCAGGAGAGGAACATGACAATATGGATTGTCAGCACCACCATCTGAAATCACATTATAGTCCGGGATTTCGCACCTTGGGGCATTGAGTGCAGACGAATGGGCGAGAGTCGCTGTGTCTGTATTCGTGGCGCTGGAGATGCAATAGGCGGTTGAAGGACATACCGCAGGTGAGACATACATGCGAACGGGTGCGGTCATTTTTTATGCTGTGTGCATTGCTGAAGGAGCGCCTGCTGCCAAATGAGGACAGGCTGGTAGAAGGGCTCGCGCTGGAGCTCGCAGTCGCGTGGGCAGGCATTGTGCTAGGTGAATGCGCTCGAAGCAGCACGGCAGTTGGAAGGTGACGACGGTGGTGACGATGATGGTGATTACAAGAACGATGTATGCTTAATGTTGTTCAGCGTGGTCCAGGTTAGGAGTAACCAGGTAGTGCCGTTGACGTAAAGGCAACTTCAAGAAAGGAGACGATGACGAATGGTGCAAGTATTGTATGCTGTGCAGGGTAGGGTGAATACGGCTTCTACGAGGGCGTTGTGCCGTGTGATATCAGCGTTGGGCCGATCGAATAAAATTTCCTTGGCTTGCAGCAGGAAGCGCTCCAAGGTACGCTTTGAGATGAAAATGCAGGCAAGAGCAAATGAGAAGGCTCGATGCTCGACGTTGACGCTGCAGAGAGTTGCAAGGATGGCGAGGAGATGGGACAGCGTTGTGGGTACATCTGACCATGGCGATGAGGTGGCGAATATAAGACGGACCTGTGATGTAATTTAATGATACATATGACCGGACGAGACGGACTTTCCTTTGCCAGTAAGTGGCTGTTCCGCCTCTACCCCATGGGGGAGCGTGCTGCGCTGTGGCGAGTAGCCAATGACAGAAAGGGAAGAGAGAGGGTGGCGCTGCTGATGGCGGATGGACGCGCACAGTTACACCCTGCCCACCTTCCCCCCAGCATTTCCATTCATACTCTCTTTCTCGCTAGTAAAAAAAACGAGACACCCAACCACTATGTTCCAGTGGCCGAATCTCTGCAAGCTTTTTTCTGTGCCTCTTCTATGGCCCTCTCTGTGCCGTACGGCACGCGCTTTTGAGCCGTCGGCCTGTCCAAGCGCGATGGCAGTCTGTCTTCTCTGTAGAGGTGCTGCAGTCTGTACGTCAAAGTCAGACAGCAGGAGAGGAGCCAGCCCATACCACAGTTCTGGTCGCACATGCGGCTGTCGCCTATTATTACTCACTCGCCTCTCAGCAGCCACAGCCATAACCGCACGGAGAAGGAGAAGTTATAAGGAGTGTGAACTATGCTGCTCGATCACCTCCGTCATCAGCTGAGTCACTGGCAAGTGATGGGCGTAGCGACAGTCTCCCTGTGAATGAAACTCAGAGCTGGGCGTCGGAACAAAAAATGGCTTTGCAGCGAGGGGCTTGGAGCTGCTTAAAGGAGACATGACGCCAACACAGCCGCTGAAAAATAAATTAGGGTACCACCCGCGTCACGCGTTGCAGTGCCACGAGCACAAAAGCACCCTAATAATGTACATATTACGTATATATACATTAATGCCGCCCTGGTTCCTGGACCAGCTGCCACCGTCGAAAACATAACTCGGCAGTCCCAGTGCCCGAGCTAGCCGGAACTTGCCAACCTGGGCTCAGAATTATGTACACGATCTCTAATTGGTTTCAAGCTAGTTCGACATACCACGTAGAACCGGTTCATGTCTTCGCAACTTGAGTATGGACGGCACCGGGGCAATCTAGACCTCCTTCTTGGTTTTCTGTGTACCTTTTCGTGGCGCTGCGCGGCGGCAGTCGGCTACTGATGAAAAATTGAGATGATACATCCTTCGGGTTGATGTTTTTACTTACCGCCACTCGTGAAAGTGTTTAAAACTGTGTCACCAGGAACAGCAACATATGGGCACGCCGCACACGACACAGTCCGGCAGGTTATAATCGTGCTGACAACACTAGACCACACTATGTAGCCCAGGTTGCCCCCCAGACCCGTTCACTCGAGTGAATACATACCCTCGTGAACTACATAATGCACATGTGCATTGGTACAATATATGTGTTCACTGAGAAGCACCCACTACCCAGGGTCCAGTGCCCTGTGCCTAGGACCTCAGACACTGGTACGTCTCAGCATTCTCTCTGCTTTACGTACAAGGCAGTATATACAAGGGATAGGAATCATGATCCAACAGTTGCGTCATCGCGCAATTACAATTTTGCAAACATGTATTGTCGTTACGTGATGGTCACTCATTCTTAACAATATAAAGTCACTCGGGAGACCCCGGAAGGTCGGATTTATATTAACCGGATACGCACTGGAGGACAAAGTGGAGTCCGCCTTTCGGCCAAGTGGATGTGGCATTGATCAGCTCTGGAATCAGTACAGAGTCTGAACAGCAGGACAGACCAAAGCCTGCAATCTTAACGGTGTTTGTAGAGGGGGCAGGCTGGGGCTCAACAGACTCTTTTGGCCTTTCCACATATGTGCACAGTATCACAATATTACTGTGGCACAACACCCAGTCGAACGTTTTATTGTACCATTATAGATACATACTTTCATATTGTATGGATGTAAAATGGTTGTAATTGTATAAAACACTTGTTGGCAAGGCAACATATGGTGCATGAAGGACTTCATCTCATTGGGTTGCATGTGCAAAAAGTGAGAAGGTGCAGGAGGGTGCAGAGCTGCAGGCCTTCACACCTTGGAAGTCTGACGCTCGTGATGGGAACTGCTAGGGTGCCTGCTATGTGCTGGAGTATGTCCTTACGTTATGGGTCTTTGCAACGTCCAATCGTACATGCCCGTGGATACTGGATGAGGATTGTGGAAGTCGGATGCGCCCGACTGCCAACAGCTCCAACACCCGATTGCAAACCTGCGCATTCGCGCGAGCGGATAAACTGGGGATTGGGGAGCTTTTCTTGTCCCCTGCAGGCAAGCAGGCGCAAGCGCCGATGACCGAGCCTCCTCACTCCATACTCGGCCAGTATGTACCTACTCGCCTGCTTGGCCACAACCAACAGTATGTGCTCCCCAGCCTGGCCTCTCTCGCAAGGAGGTGGAGATGCAATGTAGCAGTAGTGTAGCTGTGCGAAGTGTGTGCACATCCACTAGACTCAGCCATACGCCGAGAGGTTGAGTATGTATTGATGGTTAAGCGCCGAATACTTTTAAAGTACCAAGTGATATATTCAAGATATTGAACTCTGGAGATACTGAGATGATATTATGTATTGAACATGAGTACTGAGTTGAGAGATATTAAAGATATGGAGGTGATTACGTGGATATTGATGAGAGGGCGAAGGAGACCCAGAAGGATTGAGTTGGGGTATTGAGATGGCGAAGCCAGCGTATGATGCTTGCAAAAAGGTGTTCCTTAATTGACCTCTGACTCCGACGAGTATCGAATATCGAATATCGACGTTCGAACGTCTCGCCGCCATATTCGAGTTGCTGAGGCACTAATGTGCTGAGGGTGTATGACCATGCAACCCGTTTTATGAGAGTGTATGAATTCATAAACGTACGTATTCTGTGCGCGCGAAAAGCCACACATGTCCGAAATGTCGACGCAGCGACGATCAACCTGGTGGTTCTCCCACTACCTAGCACTTCGCTTTGCAGCTTTCGTTCGAAATCTGCACACCTGTGATGGCAAGCTGCAAATCGCTGTAATGTGTGAAGATGATCTGCACTCCTGAAACATTCGCATTCCTGCGCCCAGGAAATTTACAGTTGAACATGCAGCAATCATGAACTGAAGTTGATCGACACGTGGCATTCCGAGTTTACGACGACTCCATCATGTGGCTGCTAGAGCGCCACTGGCTACTGACTCCGACCTTTGCGCTCGCTGTTCACGCATCATTCACCGTCATCGCCTCATCGCGTCAACCTTCAACGTTCACCTTTCGCCGTCTACCACTCCCCTCGCATGGATGCGTGGACGGTTGCAGATCGCAGCCTTGTAGCTCACACCCTAGTTCTGCCTCGCCACTCGCCAATTCGCGAGGCCTGGCAGCTCGCAGGGCCTGGTCACATAGATAACTGAAGAAGCCGATGGTGCCAATGGGGGACCATGCTGGCTGCAGTGTTAAAGATTCAAGTGCCACTGAGCAAGGGTTTCGATTCCTCACGGGGTTTGTGACAGTTTGGCGATGGACTATATTATCATCGTGTTTACGAACTACAGTAGAACGCGCTTTAAATTCAGAAGCTTTTGGGGGTCATTTGTGCAATCTGCAGGATCTCTCCATAAAACTCTCCTACTGTCTATAATCGCACATATATATATACCGGCATAGGGTGTGTGTAGCCCGGCTCCAGCCCATCGAGCGCGTCGCTATGGCGGAATATTGGACTAGCGACCGCCAACCGGATTGTACCTGTACTGAGCATGTACCACGCAGCATGCTTCTGAGTCCCCTCACAGTGATCGATCCCTACATCATACTTACCCGCTCATATTGTCATCAGGTCCCCCATGCAATCATGGCGGCGATGCTCCAATGAGCGATGGCTTCGACGTGGTTATGCTTGGGGATACTTGCAGGTTCTAGTCTCCGGGATACAGAAAGACGGCTTGCCTCGATACATATGAATGTATCATGCAATGTACGAAATACCCGTGTAGTGTATAATATTATAGACCTCTCCTGGAAACTAGAAGGAGCCTGAACTTACGCTGATGATCGTGGCCTCGGATTCGATTGTGGAAGATGCTCAATGCGCTGGGGTCATGGCAAGGATCCGATTTGTGGATGAAAGTTTATCGTCATGATGATGGTGTTCTTGCATTCGCAAGCTTTCTAATCGCTGATTACCCTCATGTCTAATGCCTGTGATAAGCGATGGGCGATGAATCACGAACGATGAATAACTATACTTCGAGTGCCCCTTGATGAGGATGAATCGGTCGCATCCTTTTGCTCGAAGTACTGTCGAGCGGTCAAGAAGAAAAGTAAATATTTGGGAGGGGCCACCTCGAAGTTAGGTTCGTTTTCAAGCTCGGCGTCACGAGCTGTCATGAAAGCGGGCAGGACGTTCGTTTCTGAAGCAATGCTTCAAGGCCTCCTCCGAAAGGAGAAGCTAGGGGCCCCACTACCAGCACCTTCGTTGCGAGCCGGTACCGCAGGAGCGAAAGATCTCGGCCGAGTGACTTGGCGAGTTGGCCACATTCTCATTGTCATCGCCTCAGCTCACGTAGCATGAGGAATGCAGTTGCAGTCGCCAAACTCGCCATGGACGCCACGGGGAGCGGACGTGAATGTGTGGTCCAAAGTCATGGATATTCGGGCTGAGTGATGGGGTCAATCTTGCCTAGACTTGAAGTATGTAGCTTGCGTCTGGCGTTCCCTGTCGCCGCAGCGGTGCGAGGTGCATCTTGCAGGCGCTAATGCTCGTATCCTTGCGGTGTCTCCAACCTGTGATCATGCCTGTGCACCTCCTATCGACGAAAGCCTGCTGACCGCCGCACACCCCGCGTCTCCCGAGCTGCAGCCCCTGTGTCGCGTCGAGGGTGTGGTTGACTCACCGACGGAGATAGATGCATAGCAGAGCCCAAGCCCGGCAGCGGAATGTAGTACCCATTACACTCGGGAGGGCCATTAATGAGTGAGAGTGAGCCATCTCCGTTGTCTTCGCCGTCCGAAGTACGCACGTCGTCACATTCCCGTTTGATCAATTCGGACGGATGCATCGCTGACCTCTTCTACACATAGCCTCCCTCTGCATTTCACGGCGCACAATTGATCGTCGGCTCGGGTACTGGTTGCTTCCGGCAAGCGCCTGACGCGACGGGCGTCATAACGTTAGTTGCTCGCTACACCTTCCAGCTTGCCTCTGGGCACGGCGTCTTCGTTCAATCGCAAGGCTTTGGCTATGGCACGGACGTCGAAGCAGTGGAGCTGTGCAGTGCGGGTCGCGCCGCGGAGGTCAAACCAGCGAGCAGAAACTTCTTTTGCCTGCGCTTGACCCTCGAAAGCGACGACCCCGATCCCAACAGACCGGTGCAGACGGCATGTGGGAGCGTGGTCATCGCGTCGGCAATGAGGGAAGGCCGCAGTGCAATCTACGGTGCTTACACATTGACATGCAGAAGATCCCAAATGCCCTTCGGATGATTGTAATGTCTGCACAAACATTTTCGTGCTGCATCGTCGTAGCCCAATTGAGCCGTCTATGCATCGCTGAAATTTGGCCCAAATGCCTACATTCTGAGCGTGAAGAAAGGTTGCATGTTAAAGGAGCGATCTCAAAGGTTTACAGGCGCCTTTTCTTCCACCACTACGTGCTGGGCCTCCTCGAAGCGAAATCTTTGTTGAAAAAATTACTCCTCCTCGGCCGGGACTTCCTCCTCGTAAAGGCCATCCTCCTCGTCGTCGATACCAGCCTCCGCATACTGAGCAGATGAGGGCATGTAAGGGCGGGCAATATGTCAGCGAGCGACCAAAGATATGAGAGCGCACGACGCACCTGTTGGTATTCGCTGACGAGGTCCTGCATGTTGGACTCTGCCTCGGTGAACTCGAGTTCGTCCATGCCCTCGCCGGTGTACCAGTGCAAGAACGCCTTCCTCCTGAACATGGCCGAGAACTGCTCCGAAACACGCTTGAACAGCTCCTGGATGGCGGTCGAGTTGCCGATGAACGTAACGGCCATCTTCATGCCGCGCGGGGCAATGTCACAGTGGGCTGTCTGGACGTTGTTAGGGATCCACTCAACGAAGTAGGCCGCGTTCTTGGCCTGCGTCGCTTGCATCTGGTCCTCGACCTCCTTCATTGACACCTTACCGCGGAAGTACGCGGCGACAGTCAAGTAGCGGCCATGGCGTGGGTCAGCGGCGGCCATCATGTTCTTCGACTCGAACATTTGCTGGGTCCTATTAAGGCATTCCGCCATGGGGGAAGAGAGGATCAGCAAGGTGTAAATGTAGTTCGACGTCGGAGCAAGCACTCGGCAACGTACAGCTCAGGGACGCTGACTGCGCGGTATTGCTGGCTGCCCCTTGCGGTGAGCGGAGCAAAGCCGACCATGAAGAAGTGCAAACGTGGGAACGCTGGAGGAGATCACCCCTTGGGCGTCAGTGGAGGGCGGGTATAAAGCATGGAAAGCTGCATGCGCCGGGGATACTCACGGACCATGTTGACCGCGAGCTTGCGCAGATCAGAGTTGAGCTGACCGGGGAAACGGAGACATGTGGTAATACCACTCATGACGAGAGAGACAAGGTGGTTAAGGTCACCGTACTTGGCTGTCGATGGCAAGGGGCGCGCGGGGGCGAGGTTCACGTCAACACAGGGTTTCCTGCCGCAAGACACCGAAGGCAGCACAGGCATGTGCGCTAGAGAAGCACTCACGTGACGGGAGTTTAAGAGTGCGGAAGCAGATCTCGTAGAGCGCCTCGTTGTCAATGCAGAACGTCTCGTCCGAGTTCTCGACCAGCTGGTGGACGGAGAGCGTGGCGTTGTATGGCTCGACAACTGTGTCCGAGACCTTGGGCGAGGGCATGACCGAGAAGGTGGCCATCATGCGGTCCGGGAACTCTTCCCGGATCTTGGAGATGAGCAGCGTACCCATACCGGCACCCGTACCACCACCGAGCGAGTGGGTGATCTGGAATCCCTGCAGCATGTCGCAGCCCTCGGCCTCCTTGCGCACAACATCGAGAACCGAGTCAACGAGCTCAGCGCCTGGCGTGGATGCCCGAGGTGCAAGTGACCAACGTCAGTCGCCTAACATCTGCATACACTGGCTGCCAGTCAACTCACCCTCCGTGTAGTGGCCCTTGGCCCAGTTGTTACCAGCACCAGATTGACCAAAGACAAAGTTATCCGGGCGGAAGAGGCCACCCATCGGGCCGGAACGGACAGAGTCCATCGTGCCCGGCTCGAGGTCGATAAGGACAGCACGGGGGACGTATTTGGCGTTGGAGGCCTCATTGCTGCGAGCGAGTGTCAGTGAGAGGGCAATTAAGCAATCAAGGGGGAGATGCTCGTGCTCACTGCGCTGGAGACACTCACTAGTAGACGTTGATACGCTCGAGCTGCAGGTCCGAAGTACCTTGGTACGCACCAGCGCCGTCAATGCCGTGCTCGTCGGAGAGGACCTCCCAGAATTTGGCACCTGCGGTAACCATGCAGATGACGAGATTAGAACTGGAAGCTGCAAGCGGACGCGGGCGGCAGAAAGTACTCACCGACTTGGTTACCGCATTGACCGGTCTGAAGGTGAACTGCATTTGGCAAATTCCAAACAGAGTCAATCAGGGCTGCCATGATCATGTCACCACCATGTCGGCCCAAGAGCACGTACCGATTTCTCTCATATTGGCTAATCGTCAATAGGAATCTGACAGCGTTCAAGATACGAAGAGGATCAGCACGCCCTGTTTCGCCTCACGCTCGTGTGCGGGGACCAATGTGCGAGCAACGAGACAAAGGAAAATTGCAATGGACCACAGCACGCAATGTGTCCGCAGCAAGAACATCTGGTGACAGATGCGAAGAGGTGATTCGAGCCTGGCCGGATGCTCGTTCGACGGTGCTGCAGATCGCACTTTGACCCCTTCGAACGCGTCAGAGCCGCTCGAGTGAGACAAAAAGAGCTTCAGGGTGGCGCTCAGCGGCGATCCTTCTGATTCCAACAAGAGCATGAAGCACTGTAGTCCCTGCGAGCGGTCCCCAGCAGCACACTTGCACTGCTCGACCTTGTGTCCTGCCCATCGCTCCGTACGAGCAGGCTCCCAGCCTTGTCCTATGCGGGTTCTCTCCGCGCTGGGCGAAGGCCGCTGCGGCACTTTGCGCCTGAGCACGGCGTGATAGGGCAGCGCGGCGCAAAGATGGGCCGGGTGCCACGACGGTTACGCACCGTGGAGGGGGTATGTGGAGCGAGGGCGGTACGGGGGGTGGTTGGGTGCAGGCGTTGAAGTGCGACACCGAAATGAGCCTCTGTCAATGAACGAATGGAAGGTCGAACAGTCGAGCGAATGAGTACGCAGACGAGGAAGAGGACGATGCCTGACCTGGGACACTATCGAACGTGGGTTGCGAGAGAGAGCAACAACAGCCAGCCAGCCAGCCAGCCAGGAAGGTGGGATGGTGGGCGCGGGCAACCACGAGAAGAAAGGGTTCGCTAGCACCCGCAGCAAAACAGCGGCAAACTACGGGTGGGTCACACTCGCACAGCCAGGGTTATTGCACAAGGACAGTCGTGTTGGACTCGTGTTTGCCATGCACCGCCCAGCGCAGCACACAAGAGATGTGTGTTTTTCCCGTTTCACAGACACGCGCGCGCGATTCCCCATCCAGGGACACTCTCTAGGTGCCCATAGTGCACCCCAGTCAAAACAAACCCTAAAGGGGAGAGAGTGTTCTGCGCAGAACAAACATAGTGCACACTCGCCCAATGCGTCCCGCCGGACGTGCACCGTGCGCAGCCGCATCCTCAGTCGGCGCTGGCCACGAGCCAGTGCGCGAGACGCGGAAGTCGGGACGCGACGCGTCGCGCTTAGAGGCCACACAGCTGCCGCTGCCTGACGCTAGAGTGGTATGGCTGCGAAACGGCACTGCGCCCTACTGTCCCAGACTCCATCCTTGTCTTCTCCGCTTTCGAGTCGCGCACAACCAACATCACGTTGACCACTTGTTCGCCAGGGGATGAGACATCGTCGTCGTCAACAGTCAATGCTCAGCTCGACGTTGTTGGCAATACAGCGGTCAAGGTGCGCCGAGTGCAAGTGCATGTCAACAAGCACCTAGGCTGATGCGGTGCCCAAGCCAGTTGCCAGATAGCACATCGACCGGAAAGTCTTCCGCCGACGTTGCCAGCTCCTTCAAGGCGTTCTCGTCATCCATGTCAGCGTCCTTGCGCGCTGTACAGCGCTGCGCTGCGAGGCATTCACCAGCAGGCCGCGTGAGAGATCGCACAGCTTCGAGTCGTCTCGTCTAACTCATTGAACACCGGAAGCATGCCGTACTGAACTTGTGTCTTCGAACAAGATAATGCTCAACGACGATGGAACACGAATGAGAGACTCACCCTTTCGCTGCTCGCCGGCGGCGGCCACTTCATTCTGCTCCGCACGCTCCTGGTTCCTCTTGACCATCAGCAGCTCGACACTGATCCAGTCGAGGAGGCCCATGCGCTCGGGCCTACTGTACCTGTTGCCGCTCGTTCTCTTACCCTCCGCACCATCCTCCACGTACGCTCCCCCGAATGTCCCCTTCATTTGCTCATCGCTGAGCTCGGCGCGCCCCTCCCACGGCAGGCCATCTGGCGGTGCTTCCGGCCCGGATGGAAGCAGTGTCGGGTTGCGCACCTGCAGCAGGATCGACGCACACAGGGCGTCCAAGCCGATCGCACGCTGTGCGTCGCCAAACTCGGCCGGTGCCTTGTGCGAGAGGTGGTACGACAGGCGGACCTCTCGCACCGACGGCAGGCCCGTATCCTACACTGACAGGATGTTATATCCACGTCCAGTGGGGTGATCCACTCCCGTGACCTGCAGACCTGCCAGCACGGTCGACAGGAAAAAGAGAGAGAGAGAGCTTCCTCGACCGCCAGCTGTACGTGGCCAATGCGCGTACAAGAAGTAGCGGAGCGATCCTATCTCTGGTCTTCGTTTTCTTCGTTGGCTTCTTCAAGCTGCCACTGATGTTGCTTGCATCGTGACTGACCTCCGCAACAGTTTCCCAGCGCGCCTCGGATGTCTTACCGCAGATGCTCTACAGACGATCAGAGAAGTGAGAGAGAGTGCGGAGAGGCTCCCGCGTATCACCGTTTCTTGCACTGCGTACCTGCCTCAAGAGCTAAAAGCGCACACCAGGCTCTTGACCTGCAGCGAGCGCAGATTCCGGGTTGGGTAGACTTTGTTTTCAAGCGGCCGCAGGATCACGTGCGTGCGCTGAATGTCGTCCAGGGAATCTGCAGCTAGTTGATCTGTCTTCTTGGCTGCGTCAACGGACTGCACTTTTGGCTGGTAGAGAAAGTGAATGCTTTATAAGGAGCAGCGCAACGAGCACGAGAGTGCCTCCCTTTAGGAATACTAATTGTCATGACACGGATGCTTGAAGCGCACACGTCTCTCTCAACAATCCTTCATTCACCCGAACAGCCTTCAAGCTTCGTTTCCTTGGGTTTGATGGGTGGCTGCTCAAAATCCTTGCCATCTTTGCCGTCTGCCTCTGCACCCTTGCCACTTCCGTCCTGGGCGTCATCGCCACAACCGTTTGCACCTGTAGACCTCTTCTCACCCCACCCCGACTTGCGTTTCTGCGCCGGCTCCTTGCCGTCATTCTGCGCAGCAGCTCGCTGCTTGCACTTCCCACTGGCGTCCTGGCAGCCGTCGTCTTCTTTGCGCGCGTGGACGCCATGACTCTGGATGACACGACCAGTTGAGCGTGGAGAGCACGAATGGCCAGCCATCATTTCACTGCGCTACATATACATGGCATGGACACCAGTGCTTGCCTCCGTCGTCCGTCCTTTTCAGCCGCGAGCGACGCTTGTTGCTGCTAAAGGCTCGGGGACATGCTAAAGATCGCGGCGTGTTTGCTGATGCGATGTGCTAATGCCGCAGTTCAAGGGTCCTTGTCCTTTCAATGCGGTCACCTTGCTGTCGCGATGCTATGTACTACTATAACCCTAACTCAACCCTACGTCTCTTGTGTCAGGTGTGGAGATTGCGCCTCCTACTGCCTGCATCCGTTTCGTCTCTATCCAACACCCGACAACCAAACCATGGCAAATCTCAGCTCGTGGGTCGTAGCTGCAAGAGGGGGTAACTTAGCTGCTGCGAGGTGCCAATTATGGTCCCTGTGAAGCCAGCATATTGGTATTTCAATTGCTTATTATTAGCTGGGCGTGCGCCTACATGGTCATGCAGCCAGCCCTAACCTGTCTAGGGGTACATCGGCCTTGCACTTGATATTACCGCCGCCGGCCTGCTCCTTCCCTTGTCCGCATGCTTCCTTTCGTCAGCGCCTCCTTTTGTGAGGACTTGCTCCTGCAAGTCCTCCACATGCTTCAGCAGATCCTGGTACGGCACAGCAGCCGTCGGGTCGTCGCCGAGGTGGCCGGCAGCTTTAGACAGTAGGAAGCTGATGAAGAGCTCTTTGAGAAATGCAAAGCTCCAACCTTCGGTTTTACTCGCAATGTGGTCCGCCAAGCTGTCTATGTCGCTGACGCCCGGATTGCTGTATTCCCGCGAGTCAAAGTCGATGCTGGTGTCCCGCACTTTCTCGTAGAGCCACTTGAGGATGAAGCGCTTGCGCAGGTTGTGGTCCGGCAAACCAAATATATATTTGCTGTCAAATCGCGACGGTCGCTTCATGATGGCATCGTCGATCCTCTCGGGGTGATTGGTCGTAGCAATCATCAAGATGCCATCATTGTTCTCCAATCCGTCGACCTCGTTGAGAAAGTACGCGCGCGTCATGTCATTGATGAGCGCATCAAGGTCTTCGAATACGAGAATGCACGGTGAGGTTTGACGGGCCTTGCCGAAGATTGCTGAAATGCTCGGAGGTGCGTGACCGCACGACTTGACGTACAGCACTGGGATGTGAGACATGCTCTTGAGCAACACTTGCAGGGCGCCGGTCTTGCCATTGCCAGGTGGGCCAATCAGCAATAGGCCGCGCTTCCACGGTGCATTGATGGACTTGTAGATATCTCTGCTTTCGAAGAATGTATTGGTATCTCGATGTAGGCGCTTGAGCAGTTCAGGTGACAGGATGAGGTCTGACTCGTTCGTAGCCTGCACTGAAGCGTATAGAGCCTTGCTTTTTTGCCACTGATGCGTGAAAGTCCACAACTCCTTGTCCAGGCGTAGCGCCCAGAGGTGCACTTCTGCCGCAAGTTGTTTCCCAACCTCATCAGAGGGCGAATCGCGGTCACAGATAAATATCGCTTTCCACTCATGGTGTTCTTGACGCCAACTATACTGATGAACATCCAACGTGTGGCCTTGAAAGCGAGTGATGGCGCTGCCGGTTCGGAGTTGAGCCATCACAGAGCCTGACTTTCCAGAATCATCGCCCATCATCCACCTGCTTTCACCGTCATTGGATTCGGTATCGAAATTGCTGTGGCCATCTGAGGACGACCAGGTGTGCACAAAATGGCCCCGGGTTCCATCTAGAAATTCGTCTTGCCCGATCTCTCGGAGATACCCGAGAACATCGATCGTCTTGTCGTACGAAGAGCCAGAGAGCGTGACTAATTCATGTCCTGGCACCAGGTGTTGTGTTCTCTTCCACAATGTAAACAACACATCTGTTCGTTGTGTGTTGAAGATCGCGTCCGAAATGTCGATCGATTCGGTACCAGAAGACTGCATGATGGCTGGGTGGTCTTTGTGGACAGGGAAGAAGCAGGTCGGAATTAAGATGATGACTACCAACTAGAATATTAGAGATGGCAGGCAAGGGAGGTGCTTCAAAATGCACATTGCAATTATCTTGCTATATATAATACCATGCCTTCCATGACCAATAAATTCGAGGTGAGGGACGTGTTGCATGCGTATGACTCATCACAGCGTTTGCGCAGCGAGGCATCTATTGCCAGCCTGTGATGACTACGCATTTGCTACTGCGCTTTTGAGCTTCGCCTTGCATTGTCCTTGGCAGGTCGGCGGCATGAACTCGGTCCGCCGCTTCCAGACGCACGGTCCGGCCCCTCCGCAAATGCAAACTATTTGCATTTTCGCCACCTTGCTCAGGACATAGGAGGAACGACCATGATCAGGTGTCCTACGTCCAGGCCGAATCAGCACGATGGTGAACGCGGGTTGACTCAGCTCCAGCATGGTGGAGGCGCAATGACTGGTACGCATCCTGCAGACTGTAGTTCAACCGAGACCCAAAGAGTTGATTGCTGTTGGCCTCCGAGTCGCGCTTTCCGTCTTGCTTTCTTTCTTTTCGGTTGCATATATATATACATGCTGATGTCATGAACAGGAAGAGAGGGCGAAAAAGATTATAACGAGAAAGGCCACGCACACCCATACATTTTGGTTCCACTCGGGGGGTCTCGTTATATCGAGATTGTTCGTTTGAAATGCAAGGTCTCATTTCTGCTCCAGGGGCGAACGACAATTACCACGGTGCGAACGTCTCGAGCAGCTGTCGGGTCTTTAAAAATGGCTTCCTCAAGTTCTTCTACCGCTTTTAACATCCATAAGGCCGTGCTGGAAGGTGCGAGGTCCTGTCGAAAGAGCCGCTATAGCTCACTGCCTCTGACATGCATTCTTCGATTCTCGTTTGGGTTTCTGTAGGGCAAGTTGGTCTTCTGCGCCAGTATCTTATCTCCGCACCAGAGAAAGAAGTATTAAAACGAATCAACGAGGTCGATTCAGATGGCCGAACGCCATTGCACTGGGCTGCATCGACGGGGACAGCCGAGATGTTCTCCTTGCTCTTGGGTCAGGGTGCAGACGCAAACCTAGACGCCAAAGATGCATCAGGCTGGACTGCACTGATCATTGCCGCATCCGCCGGCAACGGAGATGCAATCCGTGAACTCCTGGCGCGCGGGGCAGACGCAAGAACAACTAACCCGCGTGGCCTGACGCCGCTGCACTATGCAGCGTCCAAGGGCCACGCCGACGTCGGGCGAATGCTACTTGAGCACGGCGCCGATGTCAATGCGCGGGACGGAGCGAAGCAGGTACCGCTGCATCGCGCGTGTACGGCCGGGCACGATGCCTTCGTGCGTGTCCTGCTGACGCCGCCGCCGCGCAAGGACGGCGCGGCGCACGAGAAGACGCGCATCAACCCACAGGACCGGCTCGGCAACACGCCGCTGCACCTGGCCATGGAGAGCGCGCACGGTTCGACGGCGGTGCTCCTGCTGGAGAACGGAGTAGACCGCGAGCGGACAAATGGCGATGGCCAAGCTGCGGAAGACATCGATGGCATCGGCGGACAAGGTCAGCAGCGTGTCAGAGACTATGTGCGGCAGGCTTTCGGTCCGAGGGGGTGATCGACGTCTCGTGCGCGGCAATCATTGCAGCTTATCAACTTCCATTAGCATGTTGTGGACCAATGAGTATCAATTTGGGAGCAATAAGCGAGATGCGTGCGAAACCATGATGTACATCGCGTCGGCCAAACGAAGTCCGAGAGCAAGCGCACAGCTCCCGGCCGCAGCAGGAGCAAGGCGCCACTTGGGCTCAAGAGAGCTCAGCGAGCAGCCCAGATGTCCACACAGCGAGCCGGCCATGGCTGCGGGTAATATGGTACATCAGCACACGCGCCAGGTCTGAGAAGTGGAGAGAGTGGCTGTACGGTGCGCAGAGTAGGGAGGACTAGAGGTGACCGTGATATTGAAGATAATATGATGAGCATGGAAAGTGGTCGAAGTGCGATGATCTCGGGAAACAACGAAAAAAGTGTGCGCCATCCGCGCGTCATCAAGACCGCGTATGAATATTGACGGGTTGTTTGGAAGAAGGTGCATGTGCGTCAATGGAACCGTGTAAGAGAACCAGGTGCGACGCAGAGCATGCCGAAGAATGGGGCCGGCCCCACACTCTGGCGCTGCTCGCCGTCAGCGCTTGTACTTTGACTCAAGCCTTAGCCCTTGAGGTTGTATGGACCGAAGAGCTCTGCGGTAATACACATGCAGGGACGAAAGCAAGATCAGTTCCCTGCAGGATACGAGCAAAGTGCGCGTGAAACCAAGGGCACTCACGGAGATTCCATGGGTTCGGCTTGCTGTTGTGGAACATCTTCAAGCCGTGGATCCTGCCCTCCTTCAAGGTACCAGATGGGGAAAGGCGCTGCAAGATCAAAAGTAAGAGGGTCAACTGTGCACGCCATGTTCGCAAAGGGTTGTCCCAATTGAACGCACCTTGAATGCAGACTTCGTCAAGTCGACTGGGGGAGAAAATGAGAACCCCAGCAAAGGCAACAGACCTTGTCAGCCACTATCGAAGCGAGCAAGGGTATACTTGGCGGCAGTCTCGACACTCACCGTGGTTCTTCCCGCAGCCAGCACACTTGTCGACAATACGAACGGATACGCAGGCGTTTCCGCGGCAAAGGTCAATGAACTCGCCGCATTTGGGCCCTCCATCCCATCCAGCCATGACTGCGCCAATGTGGTTCTGCAAGAGCGGGCGCGCGCGATGAAGAGGCACGGATTCGTCATCAGTACTCCTGCAAGACCAGAGGATGGAAAGAGAGAAATGTAGAAAAGGTGCAGGTACTCACACCGTTATGGGGGTTCCACTTCCCGTTACCGCACTGGGGGTTCTTGAGGTCGTTTGAGGCGTACCAGGTGATCTGGCAGTCTCTGACCCAGAGCTGCGCGCATTGCAGGGACTGTCAGCACACACATGCCCAGCCCCGCACGGAAGATGTGCCCTGCACATATCGGCCACTCACCTTCTTGCCGGGCTGATACTTGTGAACGCCCACTTTCTTTGACTTGTGCTTCTTTGCGTGTCGAGCGTGGAACCTGCGACCTGTGGTCCGCAGACGCATGCGAAAGAGCGAGACGCAAGTCACATGGTTAGCTGTCTGCCAGGCCGCGCTACACCTCGATTCCTCGGCTACTGCTCACGGGCCAGTCCCTCATCCTCGATATCATCATCGTCAGGGTCTGCGCCGCCGTTGATGAAACGGATCAGGTTGCCGTCATCGTCATTTGCGCCCGGAGCATGGTCGAGGACTTCGTTCAGGATCGTGCTGTTCTCAGCCATGCCTGACATGACAGCCAGCGCGGCGGCGAGGAGGAAAGCGAGCAGGGTGAGGCGTGCCATTGCTGTTGGCTTGACTCGGGGAGGATCTTTGCTCTGAGGTGGTGGTGGTGTTAGCCTTGTTTTAGCAGGGAAAGGGCTCTCAGAAAGGAGAGATTCAAAGCGACCTCAAGCGCGGTCGAAGCGGATGCGAAGTAAAGAGCGACGAACCAGGAAGCAATCGAAGGGCTTGCTGCCTACCAAACGAGCGTGAGTAAAGGCTTGTCGCCGGAGGGATGACCAAGACAGGAGTAAGCCGGAGCTGATGCACTATGGAGGGGGGACAAGGAGAAGCGAACGGTGTGTGAGATGAGAAAGAGATGAGGAGATGTAAAATGGATTCCAAGGTCAAAGCCAACGGGATAGGAGTATTGGAGTGAGGTTGTGAGGAAGTGCATGAACAGAAGTTGGAAGGGGGGGGGCTTGGAAGGAGCGCACACAACAATCACTTGAATCTCTAGACCCCTCAGACGCTCATGTTCCAGGCTCCCTGTTATGCAACTCTGCAATACACGCTGCTAGCTGCACCCTCCGCATCGGCCCTCTCTCTTATCTGCAGAAGAAGCGAGCGATGGAGTGCAGGGCTCCGCCAAGACTCCTGGTGAACCCAATGGCTTGCAATCATCGAATGTCGCCCGCAGTTGTTGCACGACGTAGCAGTCGTTTGATTGCAGCCCGAGTCCCGCGCGTGCGAAGAATTCACGGGGTTGCTCCTACTTCGCTTCATTCCTGTCCTCTGCTTTGGGGCAATGGACAAGAATGCCGAGAAATGAAAGCAAGCCAGAAAGAGAGAGATATCTCTGCGTTCAGCGGCGCCACGCCACTCCTGTTGCAGGATTGTTTTCGAGGCAAGTAGACGCACTTTGCTGGTGTTGCTACCGTCAAACGAGAGCAGAACGGGCATTCGTGCTGTCTCCATGTTCCATCATTCCATAGTCTTAGGCTGCACGCTCTTGCCTGAAAGGGCAGGATGGCAGTTGCCGCTGGAATTCAGGTGGCACGGATCCACAGTTGTTCCTGGCGCCCTCGATGTCGAGTTACTATGTAGCGGCGTAACCCTTCCAACCCACTCCCAACGTGCCACAAAACAATGAACAAAATTGTGCAGACGATCACTGGGGTCGAGAGCGCACTGTACACTGGACAGTGCTGTCATGTGATACTGCTTTTATGAGAAGGGGTAGGCGGAAAACAGAGACAAAATAGTGTTTTAGGTCTGGCCATAGGGAATTGGACGAACCACGCGGTGAGAGTCCAGAGGCTGGAAACTGGAGAGGACTGCTTGAGAGAGAGCACAAATGGGGGCGCCAAGAAGTGCTTTGACAGTCAGCGAATGCGGAGCGATCTCTGGCCTGCAAACGTCTAAACAGAGTATTGACAGTGGGTGTGTTGTTCAGTGTGGCGATGGTGGCTGTGTTCACCTCGTACAGGCGACAGCTCTGGGGTGGTGGCTGGTGGGATCATTACGGGAAAGGGCAAAAAAGCCCCGGAGTGAGCCACTGTCGCGCCTCCAAGCAGTAGACAAGAGGTGCCAGCTGGTGCGGAAAGCGGAATAATTCCTAAATGTGCAGGCGCGACGCGCGTAATTTGCGTCATCGCGATTTTTTGCTCACCTGCTTGAACACTTTTTACGCGCCAACTCCTCACGGATGGAATGCAAGCAACTGATGCCTGTTGCCAGGTGGCCTCCGCAAGTTTGCTGGCACCTGGCGGCTATATCAATATGTTTACATAGGCTAAACATTCGCCATATCCCAATTTGGTTCTACCCAACACCTCAGCCATATATCTGCCCTCTTCCTTTCACCGTATGTTCAAGTCTGTATCCGCGTCTTCACCGTTCTCATTTTGGTACCGTTCGATAGGTCATCTCCGTCGCTTTCTGCCGATGTACTTTTCTCCGCCTTTTGATCCGCAAGCCGGGTTCCAAAGCTGGCCTATCCAGCATCTTGCTTGTTCTGACCTTCTCCAACATTTCCCCCTCCGCTCGCTGTTGCGGTTGCAGCCAGCACGCGCGCGTCCCGTACGCTAGCACATACATGCTTCATTGTCAAATTTTGCCCCGTTTCATTTCGCTCATCCGTATTTTTGTCTGACACTCCCGCACGTCGACCACTTATGCGTCGTGCTGAGAACCGGATTTCACCCTACCCGTGTGCTTCATGGGGTCGGGGGTCAGGACTCATAAGAACTCGGGACTTGGGAGCACACCCAGTGTGTCGTCGAATCCTGGGGACCGACCCGCACTCTTCAGTGCGGCTTCGGCATCAAATTGCACCACTTGGTCCTTCTATCTCTTTCCACTCCAGCTCCATATGTTGACCCGTTTGTATCGACCCTTCATTCACGTCACTTTGCATCTACTCAATTGTTTGCTCGCCTTCAATCAGTCGATCTTTGCGCCGTCCACATGGAGCGCAACATCACAAACTCTCCTTGCCGCGGGTTTAGGTCCTGCCCGTCCGCTCACAAGGTTCGCCCCAAGTCGCGGCAACCCGTCCTGTTCTCAGAGCCCCTCCTTTCACAGTGTGCCCATACTTCATGCCGTATCCGCGATTGCTTCGGTTCTCCTTTTGGCACCATTTAATAGGTCGTCTTCATTTCCTGTCACCAGCTCGCTTCCATCCAAGCACCTGTTATCCATCGTGGCCGCCATTTATTCTTTCTCCTCTTCGGTCAGGTCTGCTCTGCGCGCTTCCCCTTCGACTCGTTTGCTGGGCCGGCCTGCTTCCGCAATTTTTTCTCCTAGATACCCTGCTGTCGTGGTGTGACCGTACACTCCGATTATCCACGTCCCCTGATCGCGCACTTTTCGACATTGCGTCTGCTGATGACTTTGTTCTTGGCTACTATTCAATCAGAGCGCCGTGACTTTGAAGCCGCGCAAACTTCGGCTGCATTTTCCATGGTCATAGCAACCTGCCTAGGCATCCTGTTACCCGCTCCCTGTAAGCACCGGGAGCACGATACATACATCGCATGTGCGAATACTCGGTCTAGCCCACTATCCAAGCGCGTGTCCCGTCACTCGGCATTCTCTTGATGCTCGAACCTTTTTGCAGGTCGACGACTTACTTCCCGAAGGTGACCGCCTGGCTCACGCCAAACCCTTAATCATGTTTCCCGCCATCTTCCATTCAATTTTTTTTACCTTGTCAACGGGCTTCCATCGAGGACTCAATGGGCCTAGCACCCAGGTATGACTGTCCGCCTTTGTTCGCTGCGGCATCTGTAATCTCCTCAGCGGTGGGAATTTTCGGCGGCAAGTCTTTCCTGGCCGGGAGGCAGGTTTTTAGTCACAGGTTGGATTGCATGTAGTGGATGCTACGAAGCACGTCCTCGCTCGAGAGGTAAGGCTGATGCTCAAGATACTTCCCAATGAGGTTTCCGAATTACACCAAGTGGCTCATGGATTTGCACAGCGGTGCTGTTACTCTTTACGTGTCGATATCTTATGCAAACTCATACCAGTGTCGGAGGAACTCAACAAGCATATTCTTCAAACTGCTGCTTGCTCCGTACCTAATGCGGTGACGGGCTCGTAGTAAGGGCAGAATGAAGTAAAAGGGGCTTTGTAGGTGTGGATATTTGTCCCGTTGCGGCTTACCGGGGGTTCTTTGCCCAGAAAAAAACGCGCACATTGGCCATCCAACCGAAACCGCCAATCGCAGCCTCAGCATGAGAAGAGAGTCCCGTTTGCAGCAAACGAAGGCCACAGAAGCTAAAAGCTTTGCGATGCTGGATGCTTTCTCGGCACGCGATCTGACCGCATGCTGCTTACAAGAGCACGATGTGCGCGGCCTCTACTGAATGCACCGGTCCTCTTAATCTGCAGATGAATCAAAGGTGTTGGGACATCGACGAAGATGGAGTTGGCCTGTTTGGACGGTGGTAAGTCATTTCCGGAAGAATTGAGAGTCACTTTGCATCGCCGGGTGGTGACATGCGCCGAATCGCTTTCTTCGAGGGTCCAGATATTCTACTTGCTGCGCTTTTCAGGGGACATTGAATCGGTTCAGTGTTAAGCGCCACTTGCCGTGAACCTGTTCAGGTCAATTCAAAGCTAGTGAATGGGTATTCGTTAGTACTCGACGCTCCGCCAGGCCGGGCAATGCTTGGAAGTACGAATCGGCAGCTAGGTAGGATCAAGGGAGATGGTTTCGCTTTGCGAAAAGTTTAACGGTGAAGAGGCAGACATACGCGATCACGTTGCCATTCTGCTAGAAATGCCGCTGAAAGAACATGGCATGCTTGGGGTTAAGTCATTACAACGCACTCTGCAACCAGAAGAGGTGCTCGAACAGCGTCGAAATGTCTCGTGGACCACGTTGGTCGTGCACGTGGGCTCAAAAGGCCAAAGTCATGAGCAATCCCATCGTCCATATTACGAGGAGGCAGAGACAGAAAGTGGAGCCGACGGTGGCGACGATAGCGTGGACAACGCTACAACGCAGCCAACAACGGAAACAATGTTGACAAAGGATCATTATGATAACCCGGTGCAGTCTATGTATATATCAAAAGAATCCGGCCGCTGTTCATGATTCATGCTTCATCGCCTTATTGATCCATTCGACTGTCACGAAATTTGCGCCATGCCATCGCCCATGGCCCACATGCTGTCACAACCATCACATTTTCCCCCGATGCTTCCGATGGTGAAACAGGTGACGTTCTCAAAGTTTAGCTTCAGATATTGGTTTTTCACGACTCATGCGAAAACTTGACCATATCCAACGCAAGGGTACAGGCCTCTGGTACACATGGGGTAACGTATGTATGTGTGTAGTCGTCATACTGACAGTTTGGCATTCTTGTATTAATAGCTTTCGGCAGCGAAAGTTGCGAAGTAAAAAGAGCAAGAGCATGCTTTGAGCCATACGTTGATCAGTGTTGATATATTGACCGAATCGTCACAATGACATTCCATGAGACGGCCGCGTGCCGAACAGAAAAGATCATTGTCGAAGGATCACGTGATATAATTGATGCTTCTGCACCGTTCCGCCCTTCCAAGCCAAAATTTTCCGAAGGATGTCGAAAGTCTGATCGACCGAATATATAGTTGTGTTTTGGGAAGAACTCCTTCTTCCCTTCTTTTCTCTTCTCCCAAGGAGCCGAATGGGCGTTGCACGCGGGTCTAGGTATTCTCGACTCTTGCGTTCGCACCCAGCTCCGTCAGATTGGGAGGTGTAAAATCAGGTAGCTTCTTGCCCTTCTCCTTCGGGAGGTGGGCATGAGTGAGCGAGTCTGTACACCTGTTCTCACGGCTTTGACCCTGACGGCGACTCCAAGATAGATCTTTTCTCCTGTACGCTTGTGGACCCGGGCTCTCCTGGCGTCGTAGTCGAAAACATGTCGTTGATCGCGGTGCTTCTCCTTCGGGGGATGCCTGCTGATCCGGCATGTGGGCTGGTATTCCATGAGCAGGGGGAAAGGTCCCTCTAATTTCAAGGCGGTTGATCGATGCAGCTATGCTGCCGTTGACCAAAAGCAAAACCTAGAGGGGAACAATCCATAATATCGCTCGCTGTCATGCGAAGCTATGACACGCATGTATTTATGTGAAGGACTTTGTCTGCGATGAAGAATATTCCACTGGCCCTGGCATGGAGTCCGCAGCGTGTCTTTTTTTCAACACCGACTGCATTTGGGTCGAAAGCACATCCCTTTCAAGGATCTGTTACATGAACTTTACATGCATTATCTGCTTCGCCACTTTGTCCATCTTCATCTGCAGCATCATTGTCCCCAGATAGCACGCGAAAGACTGCATCATTGATTTGAGATGGCTGTGAGTCGCTCCGCCTCGGAGCCCGGAAGCTTAGACTGCCTATACTGACCAGAAAGGCGGTGCGCTCGCAGATCAAGTCGCGCAAGAATGGCGGGTCGGCTGCTTCAGGCGGCAAGAAGCCCTCCTCATCGTCTTCCAGCTCAAACAGCAAACTGAAGAAGGCCGTGTCGCCTACAGCTGCCCTAAAGCGAAGAGTTTTCAAAGCACCTTTGCGCACTACTCGCGACGGCAGCAGCGGCAATGTCACACCCCCAAGCGCTTCAATCGGCGCCACCGTGACTCTAGACCACGGGCCACTTGGGACGCAAACAAAAGCAGCGAAACGTGCCGCGCGCAGGCGGGAGCTGCTTTCGCATGCACCTGCTGGATCGTTGGCACTCGCATCGTTGCCGCCGCACACCATGAGCAAGTCGGCGCTCCGGCGCGCGAAGCGTAAACAGCACGAGCAGCTCGCGGGCAACGCGCAGGGGCTCGGCGACCTCGAAATGGCGATGGAGGAGGTGGAAGATGCAGTGCAGGAAGAAGAGGTGGAAAGGGAGGAGGAAAAGAGGAACGAGGGTAAGATAGGCGCCGTCGAGAATAATGAAGCAAGCTCGGCTGGCTTTTCGGTCAAGCAGAGGAAGAAAGTGCTGTGAGTAAGAGTGCCTTTTGAGCAGCGGGCACAAACATCCTCCCACTCGCACGCATGGATGTTGACTGGTTTGTTAATCACTCCGTGCTCCCAGGGCGCAAGAAAAAGCTCGACAGAACGCGATCTTGGGCGACCTGTCAAAAACGTCTTCCCCATTCGCAGCGCTACGGCAGCACGCACAAAACTCTCTCATCTTCGAAACCCAGCAGCAGGCACGGGGTGCACGGTAACTTGAATTTGCACGTGGGTGCAGCTCACGATATCAGTCTTTGGGACTTTGTGTATTCCTCGTCGTCTCTGTAACATATTGTTACCCTGCAAATTGTGTACTAGTATACAATGCGAATGTATCTCTACCGTGCTTTCGCTCATGCTGTGAGGATTCTCGTTCTGGCGTCCGTGCCTAGATGAAGCAGAAGTGGGTGGTAGATGGTGAGGTTTATTGCGACCTTGAGGGCATGTATTTTCGGCTCTATTGTTGCGTCCAAATCGTTCTTCGCTCAATCACGAGCAGTGCGAAAGTTCTGCCCTCGGGCAGAGCATTTCGATGGAGATATGTAGCGCCAGCTGTCTTGTCGAGATGACAGAAGCTGTATAAGGCTGCTCACGCAGACACGAGAGTACCCTTTCCACGAGACCAGTCGACAATCAGTCGCAGCTTCTCGAGTGTGATAAACATGATTATGGTCTGATGTCATAAGCAAAACCCGTGAGTCAATCAGCTTTCTCAAATAGGCGTCTCGAGGGGCCGATGGAGCTCACGTTGGGTGATAAGCGGATCCACGCGGGCATGAAGCCTCTAAAAAGGAAGCCGGGCCCTTCCCGTTTAAGTGCAGCTTTGAGAGCACTAAAGCCGTGATTGCCGCCGTTCCCGTTGTCGTTGCCGTTCATAATCCGTGCCTTGATGACACTACGTAGAGGAAGAGAGAGCAGGTTAAAGGCGACCAGATAGAGAAGGCTAGCATCAGATGGTTTCTGCAGTGCATCGGCCTCAGGTTGCAAAGCTCACTCTGCTGGGGAGCATACCGTCGTCGCGACTGTGCCAGCGAGGAACGACGCGCTGAAATGCAGCCATGTTCCTTCTGCGTACAAGCCCGAGCTTACGAGCGACTCTTTGAACATGTCATATCTGTTGAAGCCAGGCGAGAGCATGCAATCGTCATCAGCAATCGGCTCTTCAATGTGTCCATAATCGTGGTTGAACTCACGTCGCTAGCTGACTCGCATTCATGAGTATGGCGCGTACTACGTTCGGCGTGAGGCCCCTGAATAGGCTTGTAGGCCCTTCTTCTTGGAAGACGCGTACGAGCCCCGTCAAAGCGTTCGAGTAGTTGTATCGCTTCTGCGAAGGCAGGTTGAGATCGGAGGTCATGCGTACGAGCAATACGTCCGCTGGATTCCCCGCCAAGCCGCCCGCTGCTCCTGCAAGGCTTGCGCACAGTGCCATCTTCCACGCTGGTAGTGGGCCTTTGCTGTCGCTTGGGGACCGCAAATGCTCCTTCAACGCATCGTAGGCTCCGAATCTATACAGAGGGCGAGGACACGCGCAAGGGAAGAATTGTTCGGTCGTGCGCTTTTCCAATGTCCCTTTCCAGCAGTCGGTAGTGGTCACTCGCATGCACTCACCTGACAACGCTATATGTCATCTGCCGAAGCAAGCTAGCCGTCAGGCCAACATAAAGTCCGGGTATCCCCTCCTTCTTGGCAGTCTGCACCAAAACGGAACCCATGCCTTGCTTCGTCTTTGCCGTCTGCATGCGATTCTTGACGGCATCGAGAGGATGTGTAAAGCATGCTGCTATCGATGCAGCTGCGCCGCCGAGCCAGAATGGATACTGTGTCGGCATGCTGTTGACGCCAGGGTAAAGATTCCAGCCAGAGCGAGAGGCGAACGTGGGATCGGTCGGTGACTCGCGCTCGTGGATGATGGCAAAATGTGAGGCTGCGGCTATCGTCCTTTCATGACAGGCGTTCCCTCCGACCACGAATTCAGATACGGTGTAAAATCTCTATCATGACCGAGAGCGCAATTTTTTCGTAGAACACGATGATCTTAATGCAACCAATTGCCAATACGAACGGCCTTTCCTGCCTGGAGCCATTTAAATTTTTTGTTGCCGGCAATCAGGGAAAAGAAAAGTCGGCGTGATGTGTACGCCCGCACGTGGGCAGAGCACACCTGTGGCAGTTCCGAACGCACAGGCGTACACTCGCCACGCCACGCCGCCATCCGATCTTCTGTCCGATGGCAGTCACAGTCGTCGGCAATCTGCACACAACATACACGCCCCTTACCACCCTACGGTCATGTATCTTTTTCTTGGCTCAAGTGCTGCTAGCGCCGGATCACACACAGATGGCAGCTTGTGGTCTAGTCGAGACGCTTCTCCTCCGGTGAAAGACAGGCGCGTGTCATCCCAGTCCGGGGCCATCCGGCTGGCTATAACGCAACCAGGCTCCAAGATAGCAAGCCTTATGTTGAAGGTATCTCAAGCACCACTGTTCTCGGTTCGCTGACGCGGCCACTGGCACACCGCTAAGATGAAACATGTTCCTTTCATGCAACTTATTTCAACGTTTGCCAGGGAGAGAGAATTCTCCAGATTTGCAAGGGAAACCATGTACAGCATACGGAATACGTAGTACAGTGCAGATAACGGAATGGTGCCGGACGCGAGCCGATTACATGTCTTCTTTAGAGAGATGTGCTGCTGAAAGCCGGGAATGAGATACCACATGCCATCGTCGGGTCCAACGAGTGCCCAGCCTGAAGTCAAGTGCTTCCTGCTGTGGTCGCAAAGAAGATTCGGGTTGAAGCGCCTCCTGCTTCCAGTGAATTCCCGATATTGGTTTGATGCGACTAGGCCGCTAGCAGTAGGTTCAGCAGTATCGTGAACGAACAAACGGATTAGCAACAGCCGCCCTTCTTCTCTGCGCCGCCGTCGTTCGCGCTCGGCTGCACAGTGATCGTCTCGCCTCCCGAAGGCCGGATCACGTCGTCTGACGACTGCAGCGCCTTGTTTGAGACGATGCGGTAGATTTCTACGAAGTTGAGGGAGGTAAAAAGCAAGCTGTCAGCCTTTGAAGGTGAAGTTTGGTGCACTGCCCGCATGGCATGGACTTGACTCGCCTGTGAGGATGTTCTGGAACGCCTGCTCAACGTTCGATGCGTCTAGCGCCGAAGTCTCGATGAAAGAAAGGTTGTTCTCCGCTGAGAATATGCAAAGCAGGGTCGGGGCAGGGTTCAGTAAGCAAGTGCCGAGGTGCATAGTGCCAAGTCCCACAATGTTGATAGCTCACCAGCAAATGCCTTTGCCTCGTCTGTCGGCACTGCCCTCAAATGGCGCAAATCGCTCTTGTTCCCGACAAGCATGATAACAATGTTGCTGTCCGCATGGTCCCGGAGTTCCTTTAGCCACCGTGAGACGTTGACGTATGTTGGATGCTTGGCAATGTCATAGACGAGCAGAGCGCCGACGGCCCCTCGGTAGTATGCGGATGTGATGGCGCGGTAGCGCTCTTGGCCGGCTGTGGTACGGAATGAGGCGAAGGTGGATCGCGTCCGTCAGAACTTACTTTCCAAAAAGGGAGTAACAGGCGAAGCGAGAATAGCTAAGAATGAATCCATGGCAACAATGACCAGGCCCACAAGTCGGAAGACAGCTGCTGGTCTGGAACACACCTGCTGCTTTTCAGAGCTTCGAGCATCGCTGCCCCACCAGCTCAACTCCTTGGCTCATACAGCATTATCGCGAGCATCCCGATACCCCGAGTGAGCCTAATGCCATTCATTAAGCTCCTTGAAAGCATTGCCGCGAACCAGGACCAGTTCTGAGGTCACGCAGCATCATTGCAATCATCTCCCCGCCCCAACGTCACACTGGAGAGTGCGTCCTCTTTGCTCCCCTGCTCCTGCGTATGCTTGTTCTTCTGCAGGGGCAGACAGACCCCCATAGATCCAGTGCCCCAGCAGCATGGTACCAGTAAAACCCACCTGTGTCCCAGATCTGCGCCTTGACAGTCTTGCCATCGACAGCGATGCTTCTCGTCGCAAACTCGACGCCGATGGTGCTCTTGCTCTCCAGGCTGAACTCGTTGCGCGTGAATCGCGACAGTAGGTTGGACTTTCCCGTGCCAGAGTCTCCGATAAGGACGACCTTGAATAGGTAGTCGTAGTTGGATTCGGCAGCCATTGTCGTCAAGCCTGCTCAAAGTTCACCTTGCGTCGTTGGGATCTCTTTCTTGGTGAATAAGAGGAGCGGACGGGAAAGGGCGAATTCTGCGTGGTCGGACGGGCCAGCAAGTCAGACTTCCTTGGGGGTTCAGCAGGGGCTTGATGATTTCGAAGATGTCAATCGAGCGTACCGCGGATGCTGAGAATGGGTTAGGTCAGGTTTGGGACCGGGTGGTATATTGACAAGGTAACAACGACGAGACCAAATGGGGGCAGGCCGGCAGCGCGGGATACCTATGACGGACACTGCTGCAATGCTTGGTGTACTTTTGGCATGACAGGCGGGCCTGTGACGCGGAAACGGTAAGTCAATCAAACAGGCGTAGTGCCCCACGCTGCCTCCCACACTTGCATCTTCTCCCTCGCGGCAGCGTCCCTCTATCACAAGAAGTGTTGTGCAAGAGTCAACAAGGAGAGCATGCGCTTGCATCTCCTTTTCGTTGTCACAAATTACAGGCTGTCTTTGCACCTTCAACATCAAGCATCGCTCCAGAAGTCGATTGCTGGAGCAGCTGCTGTGGCTGTCAGTAAAAGAGGAAATTGCTCTCACGATTCGCCGAGATGTATCATCCGTCTCGCGGTGGCACGAGGTGAGCTGCTAATCAAGCCTGGCTCTCTACTGCGGTGCGATTGGGTACATGCTGACACCGTAATACTTCTCTTTGCGCAGGGGCGGTGCTGCTGAGTTCAGCTGGGAATCAGTCAAAGTGAGTTGCACTCTGAAAACATGTGCAACGTTTTTTCGAGCCGCGCTGACGCCCACGCGCATGCGACCAGAATGACAAAGACCGCGAGCATTATTTGGGGAACACAATCATGGCCGCCACAGGCCGATGGCAAAAAGGCAAGGACATCACATGGTACAATAAAGACAAGGCGAAGGGGGACGCAGACGCTGGCCAAGGGAGCGAATCATCGCTAGAGAAGCGTCGGAGAGAACTAGAGGAGCTCAAGCGAAACGAAGAGGAAGCAATTGCTGCTGCATTGTAAGTGTACACACACATGTTTTCTGGCTTGCACGAGTTCCATGCTTACATCTCCTGAACAGAGGCTTTAAACCGCGTGCAAACCCTCTGCTGAGCCGGTCCGAAGGATCCAACTCTCGGGTAGGCTCCGCTCTCCTTGTCGGCTCATCTTCAAGTGCGACTGCAGCAGGCCAGCGTGCGTCTGCAACAGGTACAAATCAGATGACCATTGACCCGTCGCGCTCGCGTTGGAATGCTTCGGCAGGCGACTCATCTGCCGCAGGAGGATCGAGCGAGCTAGAAGCCAAGCTCAGCAAGGAAGAGCGCAGAGCGGCGAGGCAACTGGCCAAGATGGAGGTTAAGGGCAAGTTGCGCGACGAGAAGGGCAAGGGAAAAGAGCGCGAGGGATGGCGTCCCAGCAGACGACATAACCGCGATAGGCATCAGGAAGATCAGGGGGGCATGTCGTCTCGCAGCCACCATCGACATCCCGATCGATATCGTACTTCGCGGCGCGAAGAGGATAGCAGCGGCGACGAGCGCTATCGCAGGGAGCGCGACTCGTATCGCTGTGCCAGACACGGAGAGTCGCGCCAAGAACGAGAAATCCGCGGGGACCGTCACGATCGCGAGCGGGACGGCAAGCGAGCAAGCCATTGCGAGGAGCGATACGCTGAGCGCACATCACGCGAACGATCACATTCGCACTCGCGATCTCGGTCTCCCCGACGCGACAGCCGCGATCACGACAGGAGATATGATGAGGCGCGACACAGCAGCAGCAGGGGTTATCGGGAGGGTCGCAGCCACGAGCGTGATGTGCGTGATCGCGGGCCTGCGCACTGCAAGGAGAGAAGCAAAAAGCGGAGCCCTGGTCGCTCGCTCTCGCCGCCGCTCAGCATTCGCCGGCGCCAGGGTCAGGACGATATTGAGGATCCGGATAAGACACCGACGTATCCTCGGCGAGGGTGACCCCTCCATTTGTACTTGCCATGTGATCAGCGCGCCATCTGATGAATGCTACATATATACAAAGCACTCCTCTGTACGGCACTGCACAAGGGAATGCCTGAGCGGCCTTTGGGAGGGTTTACTTGAAATGTATTGCGGATTGCGCAGCCTCCCTAAACCGGTGCAAGCCCGTCGAGAGCAGTGCACTCATGGCCTATGCAACTGCCTCCAGTTTTTCCAAAAAAAAAAACCCCCGTTTTCGTCCTGTCCTGCTGCATTGTGCAATGTACTGCTGTACGGCAGTCGCCTCGTCATCAGCTGATTGGAATTATCTCGGCATCTTACTTTATTGACAGCTGCGCGGTGATTTTTTTTCGGGATCGCCGACGCGAAGTCACCAGTCGAGACCATCATCCTCAATTGATTCCCCATGTCACATGTACTCATTTGTACATACACCTAAGGCTTTGAGACCATCTGCTTACATAGCATAAGGCTATACGCTGTTTCTGCGTGGTAGCTCCAGAGATACTGCGTTGTGTAAAGGCTCGGGAATACGGCCGTGCGAAGAGAAGCGGAGCTTTCAATTTGCAGCACGCCAGTGTGACTAGCAGCGATGGAAATGGGAGCAGCGGCGTCGCCGGCGCTGCCGCAACCGGGCGTCAGCGCATGGGTGAGGACACCGCATACGTTTGCATCCGCTGTGTTGGGCTTGCGAGCTGACGGAGCACTGAGGGATTGTCGTTCTTGCAGACCGAGCACAAACATCAGGACGGTCGCATTTTCTGGTACAATGCAAATGAGAAGCGTTCCATGTGGGAGAAGCCGACCGAGCTGAAGACGCCTCGGGAGCGGGCGATGGAAGGCACACCATGGAAGGCATACAAGTCGGGCGACAGGACCTATTATGTGCACTCGGAGACCAAACAGAGCAGCTGGACGCTCCCACAGGAGCTGCAGGACCTCTTCAAAGATCTGCCTGAAGACCCTGCGCCTCAGTCGCCCTCAGTAGCTGTCGGTTCCCCAGCCCCTGCTCACGTCGTCGGCATGTTTCCTTCTGTCTCCCAAACAGAAGCTAAACCCTCGGGAAGCCCCGGCGCTCCACCTACTGGTTTGGCTAATGGGTTGCCAAACCGCCCGGTATACAGCGGCCCACCGCCTGGCTTTCCTGGAGGAACACCGGTAGCTTCTGTCTCTGGACCACAGCCGGTCACGGCAGGCGCAGTTCCGTCCAGTCTCCCGATAAGGCCCGTTGTGGATGCCAGCGCCCCAACACCGAGTGCCACTCGGGCGGATGCGCCGTTGTTCGAAGATGCCAACCAGGCGGAAGACGCATTCATTAGCCTGCTTCGACAGAAAGGTGTCACATCAGAATGGACGTGGGAGCAGACGATGCGCACGATTGTGACAGAGCCTCTGTACAAGGCACTCAAGTCGCTAAGCGAGCGCAAGGCCGCATTCAACAAGTACATCGAGATGCTCAGGGCCAAGGAGCGCGAGGAGCAAACGATCCGCCGCGGGAAGGCTGCCGAAGCCTGGAAGAAGCTCTTTGCAGGCAAGTTCAAGAGCCACAACTCGTTCGAGACCGCCAGAAAGTGGTTCGGGAATACGCAGGAATGGGCTCTTTCTAAAGACGAGGCAGAGGCGCGCGTCGTTTTCGAGAGCATCATTCATGAAATGAGGGATGCAGAGCAGACGGCCGCCCGCGAAATACGGCATCGAAATATGGACATGCTCATGTCCCTGTTCAAGAATTTTGAAATGGACGTCATGACGCGCTGGCGCGACGCGCAGCGTACGATTCTGGAATCGGAGGAATACACGCAAGACGCCCGACTGCAAGAGATGGACGTTGCAGACATGATCACTGTCTTTGAAGAGCACATGCGCGTCGTTGAGAAGGGCGAACAGGAGCGGCGCGAGCAGGTAGACGACGAAAAGCGCCGGACGGAGCGTAAGCGCCGGACAGCCTGCAAGGAGTTGATGCAGGAGCTCAAGGACGATGGGACGATCAATGCCAATTCGAAGTGGTCCGATGTGTACCCGCTGATCAAGGAAGACGATCGTTTCATCGCGATCCTGGGCCAGCCTGGCTCCACGCCTCTCGACTACTTCTACGACATTATCGACGAGCTGGACACCCGACTCTCTGAACACATTCGTCGCATCGAAAAGGGCTTCCGTGGTGTCAGCTTTGAGATCAAGGAGGGCATAAGTCGGGAGGAGTTTGATGCTAAAGTGGAGGATGTTGGCGGGTATGGCGACGCATCCGAGCAGGAACGAACGCTGATATTCGAAGATGTGCGCAAATGCCTGTCCATTACTGGCTTGATACTGCGCATAGGCTAACTCTTGCCCTGATTTCATATCACAGATTCGTGGCGAGGCCATCCGAAGAGCGCAAGAAGAGCGCAAGCGCTCCGAGCGCATACAGCGCCACCAGGCCGAGGATCTGCGCTATGCTATGAAACGCGTCGACCCACCCTTGTCAGAGCGGCTCGAGCTGAGCTTTGACCAGCTCCAAGTGCTGCCCGAGGTGACGTCGTTACGCGAATGGAAGGACTGCCACGACGATGAGACGCGCAAGATGGCATGGCAGCACTTTGTCGTGCGCACGAAAGAAAGGCAGGCAGAGAAAGCTTTGCGCGATCGTAATCGCGGCGAACATGGCCGGGAGCGCGAACGGGACCGGTCTCATCGTGCGGGGGAGGAGGGTAGCGCGGACCGGCGAGAGCTGCGTCGATCGCGACATGATTATGACGCCGAAAATGATGGAGGCGCAGCTCATGATGGCGGCGCGGATTGTTCCCGGGAGAGAAAGCGCGAGAAGCGCGAGGTTGAGTTGGACTACTCGGAGCCGCTGCCTGACGACCGCGAGCGGGAACGGGACAGGGACCGCAAGCGCTCGGAGAGGCGGAGCGGGCGCAGGGCTGGAGCAGAGGAGCAGCAAGCAGAGAGAGGTGGCAGCGGCGGCGATGGCGACAAGGAGCTTACGAGCAGGTCTCCGGTTGAGGAAGCTCGGCGCGTTACCTCGAGGAAGAAGCGCGCGGCGACCGGTGGTGCTTCCGTCAGCGCAGGTAGCAGTAGCAAGGTAAGTCGATGCCTGAAGCTCGCTCTAAGTACATAGATCTTCCTGCTAACTGGTGACGTGTCGCGCATATTCGCTTTCACCCGACAGCGTCCCAGGACAGCGGACGAGGAAGTGGACAAAGAGGAAGGAGAGGTGTGACCTGCTGCACGAGGATTGTAGGCGCAGGAGAATGCCGGGTGCGTCTTGGCCAGGCATTTCTTGCTTTTCGGGTCTCACAAGAACTTATTCATAGCATACATGAGGCGTAGCATTATGTCCTTGGTCAGTCCGAAACTCGATCGATCTCTTCATGCGGCAGCTCGGGGATTGACCGTAACTCTCATGGTCTCTCAGACTCTTTCGGTCCTATGTAATGCATTTCGCTCTGGTCTCTGGAGTCTACCCTTCCCCCCTCTCTCTGCATGATGGTCCAACGGCTTCTTATTCTGCTCCTGTTGAGGGATTATGCCTGAAACCTTGAGGAGTCCCGTACCTACACACGGTCCAGTGGATGAGGAACCTGTTCAAGTAGCAGACCACCTTGCCTGAGTTATTTGGGCCGGGGGGGGGTCACCCTCTTCAGCGGTATTTATGTAAGCTTCTGCGGCAGACTGCGATTCATTGCGCCAGCTGTGTGGCGTATGCTACATGGATGGCTTCCACTGCGCTGTGTCTCCTACCATTGAAAGACGATCGTTCTGGCGGAGGAAGAGCTGCTCGTTAATCATATGCACCGCTGGCGAAAACCACTTATGATGAATACTTCGCCCCCCGCGCAAACATAAAGAGAGATTGAGACGCTTACGTAAAATACGAGCGTGTACGTCCTGTGGAATAATAACAACTGCGGGTCGGGTGTGGGATGAGATCATCGTGCATCTGTTCTGTGCCAGCAATGGCCCAGTTCTCGGGTTGGGTTGCCACCCAGCCACAACAGCTTTACCCTCTTCTCTCTCACACACATACTGGTACCCACAACGATCATGTACTGGTCTGTGGCACAATTCACGTCGTCCTGGTTGGCAGTCGCGAACTTTTTTTTGACCATGGACAGCAGGTCGTTCTTATCCTCGTACCCCCCTAATCGTGCTGCATGCTGCGCCTCTTTCGAATACGTCAGTGACCAGTGCGTCAGCGCTGAGCCATCCATTTATAGTTACAGCGCCAGAGACACCGGTCGAGCGCGAGCTCCTTCTTTCCGTGCTGCGTTTGGGTGCGGCACACGCTGGCGCAGTGGAGGCGATTAACCGCATATGCGCTCTTGGAATGGTGGCATTGACTACAAAGATCATCTATGCATCTACTCTATACCCACGAAGACATTGCTCCCAACTATCCGTCACGAAAGTCTGCCGCGCGCTGTTTTGTATTCTGAGCTTGGAGAGATAAACATGAGCGCCACGGGATAGCTAGAATTGCTGACCGCACCACTTGCGTCTCCGAAGATCTTCCAAAATTGGCCTCGCAATTTCCCGTGCTGGCAGGCAGCAACATCAAGGGACGCTAGCTGGAGGCCAGCGTTGTCATTGTCGCAGTCGCCGCCTTTGCTCTCTTTTGAGTTCGACCGGGAGTCGTCTCGAAGCTGCTTACCGTGAAGCAGCACGAACTCGCGCAGGGGAGTGCCATTCATGCGCGGAAAAAGCGACTCGCCGCTTCGTGCAACTCCCGACCAAGCCGGAGGAAGAATTCTTCTACCAGTTCCCACACATCGCATCTCCGCCTTTCGAGCGTCCCGCCGGCCACCCTGCTGAAGATCCTAATGCCCAAGGCGCCGTGATGACAGCTACGACCTTTCCGCCATGCTTGGTCCGCACTTCTGCTTGTGGAAAGGCGACGCGATCGGATGCAGGTCGACGCTGATCTTCGGCAGCGTGACGATGACGGACGGCGCTGTCATTATGGCTAGCTCTCATTCTCTCGGTTAATATATCGTCGGACGCCTGATTACTGGGCTGAGTGAGTAGGCTGTTCCCTGAGCGATACGGGAAATAGCTTGACTATTCTGCAAGGCTGACCAGGCCCCTCGACTTGCTGCAGGCAACGGCATGCGCATATTTATAGCTCCAGTCTGGCACTCGGAGCTCTTCAAGGTGCACAATCGAGACATGCTGGTTCTCGTCGAGGGCTCGCTCAGTGCCGGCGACATCATGGTGTTGTACTGGATTGCAACGTGCCGATGCGAGCGATTTCCTTGATCTCCTTGCTCAAGCAAGCCACCCCTCTGCAGCATTTGCCTTCTTCCAGATCACAAAGCAGCTTGGTGCAATGCCGTTTCCTCGTCGCATTGCAGTGCTTCTTCCCAATCATTGTCTTTTTCGGAGGCATATGCCTCCCCGAATCGTTACGCTGGTGTATCCGGAATGTCCTCAAGCAGCAAGCGACGGATATCTTCGTGCAACTCGACGATGTCAGCCCTGAAAAGGAGGAAGTCTAGGCTGTCACTCAGCAGCTCGATGGCTCGAGGGTGCAGGCGGACAAGGAGTTGAGGGATTTCTGGTACAAGGAGCTGTTTACAAACGACAAGTATCAGAACTTCTACCGCGCCACCGTCGTATTTATTGATCAGGCTCTCCAGCAATTGAGAGGTATCAATGTGATTCTTGCGAAGAAGTTACCTGCTGTGAAAGACATGCAGCGTGATTCTGGCTGTTGCCGTTCATCATCCCCTTTCCTGGGACGAAGCTCATCACCTACTACACCTCGACCCTATTCAAGTCTATCATCGCCAATGACAACATCTGAGTGTTGCTCGCCGCGGGCAGGAGCGACCGCTACCCGCTTGATCAAGCTGCGGACGGGGCAACTCACTACCTCTTGTACAGCGGGCGGCTGCTCAACTTCGGGAACGGGACTGAGTACTTTGCGGCCGGTATCCTCGCGCACCTCCTCATAGATAGCGCTGGGAACCGCAGCCCGATGCTCTGGACCACTGCACGGATGGCAGCGTCGATGGCTGTGCTTGCCAGCTCCATCTCGGTCGTCAACAAGGGTCAGCAAGGCACACCCGAGTCGTACATCGCGGCGATCGCGCTCTATACCTTTAGCACATGGTTCGCCCTCGGCTGGGTTGGGCATGGCGTAGCTGTGCCCGGCGGAGATTGCGAACATCCGCGTTCAATCCTCTGCCACGGCGCTTTCCACTTCCAACTGGAACTTCAACTTCCTTAGGGAGCCAGATTCCTCTACATGAGTATAGAAGATGAAGTGTGGCTTCACTTTGCTGACTCGCAAGTGTCTGCGTCAGTCACCCTACTCATCATGTTCATGCTCTCAGCGCTCAAGAATCTGCAGTGTCGCACATGTATCTTTTTCGCCGTCTTCAACGCGTGCTTTGTCTCCATTGTCTACCCCTCTCCCCTGAGCTGTGAGTTTCTATCGGACTTCCACAGTGGGCAACACCAAGGATCGCAGCAGCTGACCATTCATTGCTTCCATTGGTTTCCGTTCCCCGTGCTTGGCCAGACGTCGTCGTGGACTGGAGGAAATGGACCTGATCTATGCCGAAGCGCCTGAGACTCGCTGGTGGGAACGCAAAGTACTTTATGAACTAGGCGTGCTGCCTCTCCCTACACAACAAGCAGCTCGTCGGCCAGGGCCGGGACGCGGAGCTGGCGCTGTGTTTTCGCAAGAAACTCGAGAAGGATGGGGAGGGGCGTGCAGCGGAGAACGCCCGTGAATGCCAACGGAGCGCGTGACAACGGCGCTCGCGCCGAGGATGCAAACGCTGCAGGTGGCAACAATACTCCCCCCCTGTACATGCGCAATTCCGCTCCAGCCCATCGCTCGATAGCGAAGGACGTCGGACGACTTACGCACATTCGCTGCAATACGGCAATAGGTGCTCTTCACGGAATCCCCCAGGTCACCGGCTGCGCTGCCCCATCATCATCATCATCATCATCATCATCATCATCATCATCATCAGCAGCAGCAGCAGCATCCTCTCTTGAACATTTCCATTTACACCGATAGAGTCTGTAGCACAGACGTGAACATACATAGAGCCAGTAACACCTTCTCGGGGGTGTGCCAAACTATAATTGCCACCTAATCGAATGGATTCCTTCTGCACAAGTTGACATGCAAGCTCCAAGTACCGCCCATTATTGGAATGCTCCAATGTGCCCTTTACTCGTGCTGTGGATGCATGTCGGCCACGCCCACGCTGGGCACAAAAAGGTTGGCACTCATTGCAAGGCTTATACATTGCGCGGTTTTTGCTGCGTGATTTTTGCCCCTCACCCCATCTACGCTTTCCGCCCTGTAGCCGCTGCCTGGAAACAGCGCAAATGCAGAGTGCTGCAGTGCCCCATACCGCTGAGACTCATAAAAGGTACAGGCGAAATGCGCTCACTGCTCCTTTGCCAGGCTCCACAAGTCCCGGCGCAGGGCCAGGGGCCCGATGGGCGACGTGCACTGTAAGCGCTCCTCGCACCGCACGCGCCCCAGCGATGGTATATATAGAGCATGGTTGATGTCGTTTGACATCTAACCCATCTCCCATTCGCCGAACATCAGATCCGCAGCTCGCCTTTCCTTTGTCAAACAACACTCCATCGCAAACCCGCACATTCTTTGAGCAGATCAAATCACAATGGCTGTGAGTGTTGCCGCCTGGCTCCCTTATCGCGGGCACCGCCACCCCTGCTTCACACTTGCGCTGACTGATTCCTTCTCTCCCTTGCCGTCCGATCACTGTCTCATTCGGCACTCCTCTTAGTGCCCATGCGCGAACGACTCGACACGCAGCTGCTCCTGCAACGGCGAGTGCAAGGACTGCACTTGCGACAAGGGCACGACCAAGCCGAGCTCGTGCACATGGTGAGTGCTGCGTCATCTACCGGCCCTTTTGTTCTACAAAGTTCTTTCCCCCGTCTGACCGTTCACTCTTTCCAACCGCAGCAACCCTTGCAAATGCGGGACCAACTGCAATTGCTAAAGGACCACGGGGCATCACGAGAGCAGCTTTCTCGGCGTCTCCCCGCACACTCAGCTACGGTGCTACTTCAGCCTGATCAGGGTGCCTTTTTATCAGTCTTCCGTCCCAAGCTTTTAAGTTGCACGCATGTCCTTTGTTTGTTAAAGCTTGCCACCGCAATTCATGAAAGTTTAATTTGATCCGAGCCTGTTTGCGTTTGGATCACGTGTCGATTCGCTGCTGTGAGGGACTCTGGCGTTTGCCAAACTTCTGTACAACGAGTTCTGATGCAATTTTGCTCGCGCATCACGCTTGCAACATCGTATCGTACAACGCGCATTACCGAAGTCCCAACCATCGGATCGCTGTGCTGCTTCAACATCGCGAGTGCCGATGGATGGAAAAAAAGAACTGCTTTCCCATGCTTTATGACACATAAAATTTAATATTACAACGCGTGCAGTAGCCACGGTCCCGCCTGGCCGATGTCCCACAGAGCGGCGCCAACGTCGCCCTGTTCGATGATCTCCCTGCGCCTGATCATCGTGTAGGCGCTGGGCATAAAGGCGCGATTGAAGATGCCCTCGCGGCGGCCGTCGTTGATCTTGGAGTCATCGCCGTTGGCGCTGATGTAGTCGAAGCGCATCTCGGCGCTGTCGTCGTCGAGGTAGATGAGCGGGCGCGAGGCAAGCATCAGCGCATGCAGGTCGGCGTGCTTGAGCGCGCTGCCGGCCCTGCGCAACAGAGCAAACTTGCCCGCCTCCTTGCGCAGACCTTGCTCGCGCGCCTTGGCCTGTGCCTCGGGCAGGTGCGCGCGCGCTCTTGGCGGCGACGCCGTCGGTACGCGCGGGATCCCATCGGCGGTCTTGGAGTTGAGGAAGATAAGCGAGTAGCTGTAGCCGTAGCAGGGCACGCCCATGAGGAATTTGGAAGCAAACGACGGCGCAGACGCGTTAAAGTTGTCGGCTGCTGCTCCATTGAGATCTTTCCATCCGGACCCGACGCCTGGCAGCGGCCCATCATCGAGGGATAACTTAGCCAACAGGTCGATGTTGCTTTGGAGAAACTCCAGTGGCAGATTGGGGCCGTACGTGCGCATACGGCTCGCCTCCGCGTCCTGGCGAAGCGGGTTCTCGTCCGCGAGGCCAAGCTTGTCCATGTCGAGCATGCGGCCGGTGGGGCCCGTGTGGTCGTACGTCATGATCTGTACGTACTGCACCTTTTGCGCTGCGGTGTGGATGGCCTGCGCGAGCAGCTCGGCGGTGCGAGTGACGTTCGCATTGCCGGCTGCGCCGTCGGTGCGCAGCGGCGGATAGACGACGGTGAGGGTAAGATTGTTGGAGGCGAAGCTCTTGCCGAGATGCTCGATGAACTCAGGGAGAGCCCAGCTGGCAGCGCTCTCGAAGACGGCACCGTCGAACGGTCCGTCCTTCATCTTCATCATGATCTGGCCGATCAGCGAGATCCAGCGCAGGGGATCGCTGCGCAACGCCTGAAAGTCGCGCTCGGTCCATGCTTCGAGCTGGAAGCGCGGCGTAACGAGCAGCGGCGGCAGCTTGACGTCCGCTGCTCCGGGCACGGGAGAGGAGGCACGCGCCGGCGCGCGAAGCCTGTGTACCCAGGCGCGATCCTCATCGCTCGGGATGCCGCCGCGGACGTCATACTCGCCGCCGGTGGCGCCGGTGGATTCGAACGCGGCGTGCTGCGCCTGCTCGGTTTCCGGCACGACGTGCACAGTGTACCAGGCTGGCGCCACAATATCAAGCTTGCCGCGGTAGTGCTCGGTGTTCTCGCGCCCCTGCGGCTGGTTCCACGGCGTGACGTACGCCAGGACCGTGCGGTCACGCGGGAGAAAGCGCGTGTGATTAGATATGAGGTTGCTGCTGCTGGTGCTGCCGAGTGCTGTCGCGTCGAGGCCTTGGCTTGCATTCGCGGCGATCGTCTCGGCGGATGGGAACTTGCCGTGCAGGTCTAGCGGGTACACGGATGCGGTGGAGGAGGAGAGGGCGGCTGCTGCAGCGCGCGTTGCTTCTGCACATGCGCAGGCGGCGATCACCAAGGTGCTGAGCAGCATGGTGACGGCGGCGCGTCGGCCTGGCGCCTTGATCTTGTTTCCGTGCCGAGGCGTTAAAGGGGGTTAAATCACGCTCTTGGCAGAGTCATGGCCGCTGGTCAGCCCCGTTCTTTGCTCCCCCTCCTCTCGTGCCTGCCTGTTCGTGGGAAGGTGCGTGAACGCGTCAGCATGTGTCCCGCGCGCTCTCTGTACTGCATGTCTCCATCTTTGGCGGAGATCACCCATCCCCTTGTTACACCGAAAGCAGAAGCAGAACGAACAGGCTGGCTGGCTGCATGGCTACAGCATGGTGGATCAGATCGCAAACAACATGAAAAGGCGCGGTAGGATGGTCAAAATGTGCAGGGACCGGACCGCCCAGACATGAGCGAGCATCGAGTGCAATGCCCGACTTTCTCTTGGACTTGCTCCATCCAATGGAGTGGAGTAGCGTCGGAGCAAACGGGGAGCTCCCTCGCGCAATAGAGGCGGTGACCCCTGTGTAGTTCATCGCGTCACGCCGCATCTGCTCTTCCCGATGACGGGGGTGCACAGAGGTGCAGACTCACCTCTCTCATCCTTTTCCAGACAGCGGCCGGGCGGCGATGTTCTGCTGCTGCTGGAGCAAGGAATCTGAGATATGCCCCACGTTGAACTCGGTGTCTCTCCCCCCCAGAATGTGCAACGATTCTCGCTGGGGCCAACACATTCCCAACCCCCAAGAAATAAAAAAGAAATAATAGTAAAGAATGAATGAGAAGAATCGTGTGTAACTGTTCCAGTGCCTCCGCCACACGACCTGGCCTGCTACTTTGAAGCATGTACTACTACGACCACTACAACTATCGCAACCACTACCATTACCGCAGCCATTGCTCCTATCGCTTTACTACCTTTCTTCGAAGCCGACACCTGCCTGCCCGCTTGCGTGCATAATAAAGCTCGCTCGGAAACCAGGGTACAAGGCGGGGGAATAATAATAATAAAAATGGCCCTTCGAAGCATTGTTGCGAACTGCGTCGGTCGCACCGCAGCCGGCAGCCGGCTCGCCTTGCTCGCCAGCACCACCACTGGAAGCACGGCCACAGGCGCAGGCGAAGTTGCGGGTGCAGGTCCATCCGTCGCCTCGCACCGAAGGTCTCTCTCTTACAGCCAATGCCGGGCACGCGCCGTTCCTGCAGCGTTGGAGGGCGTCTCACAGGCAACTTACGACAGCTCGGCTGCGGATGCCGCTTATCAGCCCGCAGCTCCCGCGCGTCCTTCCCCTCCTGCTACTGCTGTCGCCGATGGAGTCAGCCGTCACGACTGGACACGCGAGCAGGTGGCGGAAATCTACAACGCGCCACTGCTCGAACTCGTCTTCCGCGCGTCGAGCGTGCACCGGCAGCACCACCCGGCCGGCTCCGTGCAGCTGTGCACCCTGATGAACATCAAGGAGGGCGGCTGCTCCGAGGACTGTGGTTACTGCTCCCAGTCGTCGCGCTATACAACGCCCTCAACGCCTTCCAAGCTTAGCGACCTCGACCAAGTCCTCGCTGAGGCGCGCAAGGCGAAGGAGAACGGCAGCACGCGTTTCTGCATGGGTGCCGCCTGGCGCGAGGTTGGTGGGCGCAAGCGTGGCTTTGGACGCATCCTTCAAATGGTCTCCGAGATCCGCGGTATGGGCATGGAGGTCTGCACGACGCTCGGAATGCTCACCCCCGAGCAGGCCAAGCAACTCAAGGCCGCCGGCCTTACCGCGTACAACCACAACCTCGACACTAGCAGAGAGTACTATGGCAAGGTTGTCACGACCCGCTCCTACGACGACCGTATCGGCACCCTCGCCAACGTCCGCGATGCCGGCATATCTGTCTGCTCCGGCGGCATCCTCGGCCTCGGAGAGCAGGAAGAGGACCGCGTCGGCTTGATCTGGGAGATGTCCAGGCTGCCCGAGCACCCAGAGTCATTCCCGGTGTGTCTGGTCGGGCTTTGCCTGCACGCTGCATTCATCCGAACCCTCAGTCGCTGACCTTTTTTTTTCATAGGTGAATGCCCTCGTTGCGATCCCAGGCACGCCTATGGAGGACAACAAGGTGAGACGCTTTGCTTAGTCCTCATGCCATTCGCGCAGCACCTAACCCCATCACTTTCCCTTGCAGCCCGTCGACTTCCGCACGATGTTGCGCACGATCGCGACAGCACGTTTGGTGCTGCCCACGTCGATCATCCGCCTCGCGGCCGGGAGGCATCTGTTCAGCGAGTCCGAGCAGGCCTTCGCCTTCCTCGCCGGCGCCAACGCCATCTTCACCGGCCACAAGATGCTCACGACGCCCACGAGCGGATGGGACGAGGACAAGATGATGCTCGCACGCTGGGGGCTCAGGGGAATGGGTAGCTTCGAGGAGAAGCGTATGCGCACACACGCGGACGCGCAGAGCGACTCCGTGGCACCCGTCACAGCTGAAGAGAACCTGATGCACGTGCAACAGCAGAACGGCCTCGGGCTCAAGCCCGACTCGGTCGGCGTCGCAGGCTTAGCCTGAGCATAAGCAGGGCAGGAGAATACGTTCTGGAATCGGCGCATGGGCGCTACGTTGTGCGCACTGTATCATCGTATCATCCAAAAGCAAACCTTCTAGAGCTACCAGGCGGCTTGTGGTGATGGGGCCATTGTTGAATCTAGCTTTTGGGGCGGAACGGCGCACAGGCCTCTTTTTGAGATTTTGAGCACACAAAGCTCATTTCTCCAAAAGTCCAAGACCAGTCCTACATGTATTCGCACTTTGCATCATCAACTTCGCAATTACGTTTCCATCCTAATCTCGCACAACGCTGCTAGGTGGTGCTGCCTGTCGTCGCTGCCAGGCGCCGGAAGAGCGCTCGCAGTATGGCAGACCTGGCGGACGAACTACTTGCAGACCTCGGGTCCGAGGAGGATGCGCAGTATGCTGGTGTGGATGGCTCCAGCGGCGAAGTGGCCAGTGCCTCCTCTTCTTCTTCCACCATAGCACTTTGCAAGCGCAAGGCGGTGGAAGATGCAGACCTGGATGACCTCGAGGCACTCGAGGGAGATGCAGGGACGGATGAGGAGGATGGTGAGGGGAACGGCGGGGTGCTCGACGGAAGCGGCAAGGGGACGAACTCCAACTCCAAGAATGCGGTCAAAGCTGCGGAAGAGATGGACCACGACGAGATCGAGCAGCTAGATCTAGGGCCGACCAGCATCAATAGCGTACACGCCGTCTGCAAGGCGCTGCGGAGCAGCCGGCTACAAGATACTCTGTCTCAGATCCACCAATTCGGCACCTTAGACACGCCAGATTTCGAAGGCGTGCTGGAGGAGACACCCGAGTACAGCCTGATTGTCCGGGCAAACAACCTTGCAGTAGAACTCGACAACGAGATCATGATGGCACACAAGTTTATCCGCGATCACTATGCACCCCGCTTTCCGGAGCTGGAGACGCTCATCCTCAACCCGTGGGAGTTCGTGCAGGCTGTACAGGCTCTGGGCAACACCGAAGACATGTCCAAAGCCAACCTGGAAGGCATCCTCCCGCACGGAACGATCGTCGTTATCAGCATGACTGCATCCACGACAAACGGCCGGCCGCTAGAGCCTAAAGCATGGGAGAGGGTCGAGGAGGCATGCCAGGTCGTCTTTGACCTCGAAGCAGCGCGCAGAAAGATCCTCACCTACGTCGAGTCGCGCATGACACTCATCGCTCCGAACCTCTCTGCCGTCGTCGGCACACGTGTGGCCACCAAGCTGCTCGGTGTTGCCGGCGGACTGACGGCGCTCGGAAAGATCCCTGCAAGCAACATCGGCCTGCTCGGCGCGCCGAAGCGCAGCGCGACAGCCGCCACGGGCCTCTCCACCGCCTTCTCCGGCCGGCACAACGGCTTCATCGCGCAGTCCGATTTGGTCGAGAGCACGCCAGAGGAGTACCGGCGGCAGGCCCAGCGCATGGTCAGCGCGAAAGCCGTCCTGGCCGCGCGCATGGATGGCGCAAAGAGCATGCGCGACGGCAGTTACGGGCGCAAATTGTACGACGAGCTTGAGCGCAAGCTGGAGAAGCTGCAGGAGCCACCTCCGAGCAAAATGATCAAGGCGCTCCCGCGGCCACAGGAGGGCGGGCGTAAGCAGCGCCGCGGCGGGCGCGCGGCGCGCAAGATGAAGGAAAAGTACGGCATGACCGAGCTGCGCAAGATGCAGAACCGCGTCGAGTTTGGTAAAGCGGAGGAGGAGGCCGGTGCGTTCGACGATATACTCGGCATGGGTATGATCAACAGCGCGTCCACGGGGCGCGTACGCGCGCAGGTCGCGGACAGCAAGTCACGAGCCAAGATGTCCAAGCGAAATATCAATCGTCTCGCGGCGCTGCGCGGGCCGACTTCGTCATCACTGTCCGCAGCTTCGGCGCTCGACAGCGCAACATCCGGCACCGCATCCTCGCTCTCGTTCACACCCGTGCAGGGCATTGAGCTGGTCGACCCATCTAGGAACAAAACCAAGGTAGACGAGGCCAACGCAAAGTGGTTTAAAGAAGGCGCGTTTTCCATGCTGCCCAACGCGGGCACAGGCAGCAAGATCCCGGGCTTGTCCGCTTCTGCTTCCGGTGCCGCCTCATCCGCCTCTGCTTCCGCTTCACGGGTAATGGGGCCCCCACCAGTACCGTCGAAGAAAACGGAGAGCTAGTCACGGCTGGATACTGTAGCGTAATCTTCACTTTTTACCCATTGCCTTTCGATTTACAGCGACCTAATATACAAGGGATAATACCTGCCTGCTCAGTGCCCTGGCCTTGGCTCAGATGCCCCTGCCGCCAGTGACCTCGAGCGTGTGTCCGCTAATGTAGCTGGACAGTGGGCTGAGGAGCATGACGATCGCAGCGGCCGCTTCCTCCGCGTTCCCCTGGCGGCGCAGCGGTACGTCGTTGTTTGCCTGCGGGTTGGCACGCATCGACGCGGGAACTACAGGTGAGGTGGGGCGAAGCGAATCCAAGCGAAGCGAAACAAACCAAGAAAAACAGGAGGTCAGTCACCGAAAGAGCATAAAGGGCGCAGAACAATGTTCAGATGTACTCACTGCCAAGCGCAATCTTTTGCCCAATGACGGTGATGGACGCTCCGTCTTCCTTTGCCTGGGTGAGGCGGGTGTCTGTTGGAGGCGTGTAGAGTCAGGGTCTTTGGGCTGACGGCATTTAGCTACCATTGTTCTCGCCACGTACCAATGCTACCGTATGCGATGCAGTTGCATCTGACGTTGAAAGGCCCGAGCTCCTTGCAGATTCTATGTCACCAAAAGACGTCAGCGGCTGTTACTCTCTGACCAACTGGTCATGCAAGGCCGCCAGCACAGACTCGCGTCTTGGTCATGCCGGTGACAGCAGCCTTGGCGGCGCTGTAGTTGATCTGCCCCGCATTGCCGTGAATACCGGAGGTGCTACTGATGTTGATGATGCACCTGTTCTCGTGCTTTTCTGGGTCCTTGAGGCGCAGGTGCGGCGCTGCAGCGCGGACGATGCGGAAAGGCGCCGTGCAGTGCACGTCGAGAATCAAGTTCCAGATATCGTCGCTCATTGTGTGCAGCATCTTGTCGGCGGTGAATCCTGCGTTATTCACTATGTGGTTGATCTTGCCATATGCGTCAATCGTTGCCTTGACGACCGTCTCGCCAAAGTCTTTCGCGGTCACATCTCCAGGGACGCCGATTGCGCTGCCGCCGTTGTTCTTGATCGTATCGACCGTCTCTTGCGTTTTTTGAGGGTCTAGATCGCTGACCTGGGGGTTTCGACGGAGCGAACGAAACAAAATATCAGAGTTAGCTTTGCGGTACTCTCACGAAAGCGATTAAACGTACGACTACATGGGCGCCGTGCGCGCCGGCGATGATGGCGGCCATCTTGCCGATGCCATTGCCGGCGCCTGTGATGATCGTAACTTCGCCCTTGAGCAGCTGACCAGCTGCAGGGCAGAATGGAATGAAGCGCACGAGGCCAGTTTTAGTGAGCCTCCTCAAAACAAAAGGGTTAAGTCAATCGTAGTACGAAAAGACGGGATCGACTCACGTCCGACACCGCTGCCAAAGACGCCGAGCTGGTTCTTCAGCTGCGATACTCTTGCTTGTGCGCCAGACATTTTGATCGGATCAATCACAGTTCTGTGCGTTGAACGAATGGCAAGTCAACCTGGGTGCTGGATTTGGTGTGTGCGGGAGATAGCGGGGTAAACACAAGAGAGAGGATGGTGTGCACTACATGTCTATCTACGTCTGGAGTCGATGGTAGCGATTATCGGTGGTTGGTAGTGTATACTATACAGTAGGCAGTCATGTGGAGAATGCACCGGCTTCTGTCGGCGACTGGCACGCGGGGTGGCGGAATAGCCGGAGAGAGTCCCTCGTCCTCATTACGTCTCTTGTTCTCTCGACTTACCTCGTTGATATTTTCATCCTACAGCGATGCCTGTCGTAAAGACACCATCCATTACGTTGTTCCGCCCGAGGCCATGCCAGATGGATCAGTCGCTGCCCCTATCGACATGGGCAGCTATTATTTTGTTGGACTTGCCCAAAGCCATCCGGACATTCGTAAGTGAATACCTTAAGGTCCTAGGCCTGGGGGATACCAGCATGTTCGATCAACCTTTCTATATGCATTGATATGGCGAATACGACATAAGTCTCAGCGCTGCATAGCTATTTGCGACGTAGAAGGTGAGCCTGTGATTCATTTCATTAGGCGATTTGTAGACATTGCACCGTGCAGCATGGCGCAGCAGCCCCTAAGACCCCAATCCGTGGGGCATGATGCCGATGATCAATTCCTTGTGCTAGCGCTGTGCTCCGCACTCGGTACCCAAGTGTGTTTCTCCGTTCGACACCTTAGTGGCCAACCGTAAGAGAGTGTGGATGTCGGCGTTACACCCCATTGTCATGACCGAACGCTTCCATCTAATATTCCTCTGTTGTTCGACAGGCCCATTTCAAGACAGAACGCACGGCAAAGTTATGCCAGCACACCCGCAGTTCGATTCTCATTACGGGAAGAATGAAAACGTTCACACCAGGGGCATGAAGTGCCATCCTTCACATTATCAAGTGAAGTGCATCCTGAATTTCCGATTCCGAGCATCCTCTACTAGCTTCCGACAGCTAATGCACATATTATGCATCTCCGAGTATTCGGCCTTGGTTTCATAAACATTCGCGCCTTGTTTGTGGACACAGTGTCTCAACGTTGCAGATCCGTCTCCGACGTCGCCATTGGTTGTCCCATCGGTCTTAAAGGAAACGCGCAGGTCGCGTCGGAAACCATGCTCGAGGTCGATCAGGCTGAGTTGTGAGTTCTATCGCATATCTGAGCTCACTCCATATATACACGAGTGGTTTCCAACGCCCTGGACGTAGACTTCAGATCACATGTTGCAGGTATGTGCCAGTACGGAACTGCATCTTTCTCCTCTGATCGTCTTTTGCTAATTTCTCACCTCCCAAGATTCCCCTTGGATATTCCTCCTGATGACTGTTACTATACACATGTGCAACACGACGTAGGATGTGCCTAGCCAGTCCGCAGGAGCCTGTGACGGAGGGTGAAAATGTCACCGAATGCCACATGGACGCGCCGAACAGCCGGCAAGCGCAGCGTGGAAATGCACGCAATTTCACCAGAAATGAGGAGAATAGCCACAATCACCGGAAATACAGTACTGGATTCCCCGCAGCTTGGGGGGTGTTTGGGCGTACGGCAGTTGTGCCTGCGTATCAGACAGTCATCCAGCTTACGAGGTATAACTATTATACACGCAATGCAGCTGAAAGTTGACCGTCCCATGGGTCGAGGGGAATCTGCTTTTGTATTTGCTTGCTACCAGCTGCGGACAATCTTCAAAATTGATACTCTACGCACAGCTTCCATCGTCCACTAGGGCGCACACTGTATAATCGAGAACCCGGCGATTCCAAGAAAGCGGGAGGCATTGCGGACCTCCAGCCGCTGGTCGACGATACGGGACGCACATGCGCACATCACGACGCGACCATCCGGCCTGATACTGCCTGCTCCTTGCGAAATCGCCTCGCAGAACTTGGTCCAGTCGCTGCAGGGCTTCAGCTTGTCTAGCTCCTACCCTCCAAAGGTCGGTTGACATGGCCACTATGAAGGGCCATCTCGATGATCCGCGCGCGCTGAGGGTGCGATCTGATAACATGCTGGGCACTCACAGCTTGAGACTGCACAAAAAGCGCAAGATAGATGCTGAAGTCGCCGGCTCGTCCCGTCATCTCGGAGCTCGACAGGCCGGCAGCATGTCATCGTCGTCATCAACTTGGTCAGGCTCAGACGTGTCGACTTCCTTGCGGCGTCATCCTTCGAGTTCCCCCGCGTCGCCTGGAAACATGGCTTCGACGCCAAAGGACCCCGGTACCACGCGTACAACTACCCATCGACCGCACTCCACTGCGACTCCGCTGACGGAGATCAAGACGGGCACGGGATTGCTGAACGTCACCATGCCCGCAGGCGGATTCGTGCAGTGTCAACCTGCGCATCTCGGCATTGCCGTATCGCCCAACGCGGCGGTGCACATCCTCATCGCCGACTTCCACGACTTTTATCAGCGGCTCGACGTCAGTCTTCCCGCTCCCATCTTGGACGGCTGGCAGTGGCCTGCCGTGAATTTTCCCGCGCGGACGCTGCTGCGCATGCAGGTCACCTCATCGCCGGACAACCTGACGAGCCCGGACTACGCAATGTACGTCCGCCGCGATGTTGTTGCGCTTGGGAGTAACAGCACGATCTGCCTCGACGCCGACGACCGCCTCGGCTCCGATGCATCGCCCGACGGCGCCGACCCGGATTCGGCATCCGCGGCGACAGGCGGGGGCCACCAATCGAAGTACTCGCACAACACGATTAAGGGAATCGCAGGCGTCCTCGGCGGTGTGCTCGCTCTCCTACTCGTCCTCGTCATCTGCATGAGCGTCCGTCGGCGCGACGAGAAGCGCAAGTGGGACGAAGCGGCAGCGTTGCACAGGATTAGCGACGCGGGAAGCATCGCTCGCTCTTTCGGACGCGGGCACGGGGGTTACGACATGGGCACAGGCCCGGGCGCCACCGTTGGACCAGCACTACCAGAATCAGCACACGGTCAGGGGCAAGGGCTTGGGAATCTTCCCAGCGAGGGTGGCGGCCGACTTGTCGCAACGAGTGGTGGAAGAAGCTGTGGCAGGCGGCGTATTGCATGGCCTCTATCTAACATGGGCAGAGCGATCCTCACCACGCCGTCCACTGCTGCGCCTCCTGCCGCCAGCGCCAGCCGTATGGCTGGCCTGCGCTATATGGCGTACCTCGTACCTGGGCTCGAGGCGAGTCGCACCGTTGCCGAACCAGGCGGGCTTGAGGGGCGGCCGTCGCATGACCATCTACGGCACGACCCGGACGCGAGGGGAGAAGCGAGGCGCGCAGCTGCTGATTCTTTCGAGATGCGGAATCGACGTGTACAGGACGGCGGAGATGGCCCTTCGCTCCTAGAAGAGGGGGGCAAGCTGCGCGATCTGCCGAGCTACCGGCAGAGCCAATGGGAGGCAAAGCAGAGCCGGTTGCCGAAATATACACTTCGTGAGTACTCCATCCAGGCTTCAGTAAAATGATGTGGTTCCAATCTCACCGTATCCGCTTCCTTCTCTTCTTGCTTGCGAATACAGCCATAGACACCGTCAGCAATCAGTATGGACATCCGCCGGAGCCACTGCCGTCGTCAACACGAGTATGTCCCGAAATGGGCGCCGCCGCTCCCAGGGCTCCTGGCGCCGCCTCGCCCCCGAGCTCGCGCTCGTTCGCATCCGCTCTCGAGCGCCCAGCGGGCGATGTGTTTGCCGGTTTGCAAATGCCACTGCTACTGCCTCCCTCTGCAGGTGCAGAGGCGGATGCGCAGCGGGCGGGCCATCCAGTTGTGCGGTAGGACCCCTGAGAGCACGCGCACGGGTCGCTTTTCCCTTATCAACTCTCACCTTCGCAGAAGAATCCCCCAGGATGCCCCCATCCCAGTTGCTCGTTACCATTATCGCATGCACGCCCCCACACCCATCTACAACCCATTAATTCATGCGACCGGGGTTCATAACGGACACTCATTCTTCTTTATCAACGTCATGGCATACCGCAAACCAGAGGAATATATCTTTTGTAATCGCTCCGACAATCTGTATTCCGACGCGCCTTGCACCTAGGCGCATCACCAGTGGTGCTGTGTACTCTTTCTTACAGTTTCCAAAGCACCCATCGCTACATTCGCTAAACACTCAAGGGAATTGTATGTAAGGACTGCGCGAAAAGGTTGCCTGTGGCTTGTGCGCGCGCAGAGATGCAGATCCGGACTGTCTTTAAAGGAGGTTGTCAACAACCTGACGAGAGCATGCGGTTGGGTAGCCTCCGAATCATGGGCTGCAGCAAGCGCGATGTAGTGGTTGGTGTGCGAGCGTTCCAGGACACTAGGTCATTTGTGTCGATGCGCGAGCAGGCAGCCAGCAGGAATCCGATATAGACTGTTCAGGGCCCCGCTCTTCGCGGCGGACAGAGCTAACTGATCGGTTCAGAGAAGATTGAGAAGTGGCGAACTCGAGTCTGCCCGCTCCAAAGTTTCGTCTAGGCCTTCTGACTGACTATTCGTCCCTAGATCACTTGTACGCCCGCTTACTGTCGGGCCAATCGTACCGAGACTGGCATCATTTTTTGACTGAGCACATATCTCGGGCGGCATGGTGCTGCACGGACCTCCCTGCTTTAAAGCGTGCTGCGAGGTGCTGTGGGTGAGAAGGGCGAGCTGAGACGCGGGATGCATGCGCGCTTTGATCTGCGAGTGATGTTGCTGCTTCATCAGAAGAGTTGCCAAAGAGGTGGTTGCTGCAATATGGCAAGGCAAGCGCTGGATATTGCAGTTGAGAAAGAGTGCACGGAGAGCGGTTGCCAGTGGCGGTTGCGGTCATGCGCCATAAGTTTGCAGTCGACTCAAGCAGCTGAAGCGACAGCGGTCGCTATGCCTTCAGAGGTAACCTGCTGTGCAGCCGTTTGATCCGCATCATCGTCTTCCTCAAAATCGAGCTGCACAACCCAAGTCCGTAGGAATGAGTGAGAAACACGATTCACTGAACTCAATTCCGACGCCATCATAGAATGTGTCACTCACTGGGTCGAAAACAACCCTGATCAGCAGACTGCACGAGGGACAGCGCGCGATGTCCTCGGCATCTCTCAGTTGCTGGCGCGTAATCTCGAATCGGTCGCCGCACGGGCAAGGGTAGTGGAAGAGGTCCTTGCTCGCATCGTACGACATGTCCTCCAGCTCGATCTCGTCGTAGATGGCCTGCCGCGGCATGGCGGACGATGCTGGCTACTCGCAGACACTGTAGCGCTTTTGATCCACGGTCAAGGATGCCGGTGCTGCTTCTGGCTTTCTGTCACTACAGAGAATATCCTCAGGACTCTTAGTCACGCACGTCCACCCAAGCATGCAGACAGGATCGACTAGCACGACAAACAATAGTGGCGGCGAATGGATTGTCCGAGGTTTAAAGAAAAAATGTTTCAGGAATGGCGGCGGCTCATGCATTAATCGTAGAATCGCTTTCTCTCGGCCGAGAAGGCAGCTGTGACAGCTCTTTCTTGCTTGATGAGAGAGAGACACGGGCAAGCGACGACTGTTGGCTGCCGCCCAGTGACCAGCGCTGTTCCAGCACGCTTCCCATCGTTCATTGACTTCCATCCAACCAGCCCATCTGCCTCGTGTTGGACAGCTTACAACCCTGCTCCCACATCTAATACACCTGCTAGGCCAGGCAACAGCAGGAGGACATCTGTCACTAGTTCCGTCGTCAGCCAAGCAAGATGGCAGCTCTCTTCAGCCCGTTCCGAAACACCTACCGGTACCTTGTGAGTTCCTAGTGCCGCGCGGCCGTGAGGGGAATCCTGCAAATTGAGAAAACAGCGCTGGCATAGATCTGGCGCTGGCAAGCATTCCCGTTGGCAGAAAGTGGACTGACGGACTTTATCTGTCGCTTCCCCTTCTCATCTTCTACTATGACCCACTTCTCAGCAACGGACCGCCCACGAAAAACCGGTCATCTTCTTCTCGCTTCTTATCGGATCGCTCGGTGAGTGCAGTATATTGCCTGACGGACTTCGGCCTAATAGATCTCAAGCCGCATTCCTCGCGTCCAGCCTCGTGGTCTGATGGTCGATTTATGAGGCTAGTTTATCGAGTACTGATAACCCTCTGCTCTTTGCGCATAGGGCCGATCGCGGTCGTCACTGTTCCACCAATTAGGAAGCGCTATGGCTGGAAGCAGTCGGAGAGAATCCCCACTTCCTACCCACGTGAGTACTCTGAGCGGGAAAGCCACGGACTCAACCTACACCAACTGAGATGATGGAATTCCTGCACCTGTCTGGATACCTAGTGCCGGACCGAAAACGGGAAGAGATAACAGGATATGACGATAAATGAGCAGTAGTGACCTCAAGCGCAATACATGCAACACAGAGGACGCAGAAGCGCGTGCTTTGATTGATAGTTTGCACTGAATATGGCAAGAGGCACAAGCCTGCTGGTGTCGCCGAGCCCTTCCTTCCCATCCAGACACCTTCAAAAGCAATCGTACAGCCTTTCAGGATACTGTTCACGGGGCCTCTCCCTGCCGCTTGGCAGGTCCTTTGGCGCAGGAATCCCCTCTTTCCGCTGTCGAACCGCGTATCGCTCCCTCCAGAAGCTTTTGGCTGGTCTGACAGCGGGCAGCGCTCCTTCAGAGACGCTTCCTGATGGCGTTGTGCACGGCTGGGATTGGTCGCGACGAAAGTCAGCACGCTGCAGTGGCACGCTTCTCCAAGGGCTGACCCACTTTCGTATCGCCCAGGCTAGCTTCTGCAGTTCGAGGGCGTGGCACAGTTGCTGCATCACGCTTGCCTTTGCAGTCGTGCGCTCCTTGATCTTTGCGGGAGCACGTTTCGGGCTGTGCTCCGCGCACATTGTCCTTCTCCTGCATCCGATCTCCGTCATTTCTCATCGAAAGCTTCTGCATCTGCTCCTCCAACCTGCTCAGGCGCGCTTCATGGTCCGCCCATCGCCTCCCCAACTCTGCCTGAGCAGCTTGGGCGGAGTGAATGCCCTGTTGGACGCTATGGATGCCATCGCTTACGTTGTGCAGCGTGCAGTCGATCTTGCTAATGTCCTCCAGCGCTTCGGCAGCCGCTTGCGAGGAGGCGTTCGCTGCGTAGACGGCCGCTTCGAGTACCTTGAGACCGCAAGCAGGCTCCGGCGATTGCTGTAGCTGCCGCTGTTGCTTCTCCTTCGTGATCGGAGACGTGGACGGCCCATGCGAGGACATTGCGCTCAATGGAATTTGTTGTGCGAAGGCCGTTGAAAGCCTTGAAGGCACAAGTCGATATCGAGGCTTGTGTGCACATTTATGTCTTCGCACTATCAGACCACATTCAGGCCCCCTTCCCATCCAACCAGTCATCCACATGCCGCACGGTTGACTGGTTTACGCCTGCAAAACGAGATACTGTTTCGAAGAAGCACCAGTGTAGCATCCGCTACGCTGATCAAGCACGCAAATTCGGAGGTATGACGCAGCTGTTATATCGTAAGCAGGCATAAGGGAACACGAGGCTGACCTCGCGCGTTGAGCGGGATGAGCGAGCATTACTAGTCTTTTTGGAGCCCGCGAAGATCGTGAGGGACGCTAAAACGAAACGGGAGCTACATCATCTGTCGCTGCGACCGGCGAATCTTCATGCAAGCACACTCGAACCAGACTGCCATTGCCTTGTATGACTGTAATCCAAGAACTTGAATATGGAGCATACATGGTCAGATACAGATCATCCGATGATCAGGAAAAGGTCAGAGTGTGGCGTGGTGTGGTGTGACTTTCGAGTGGCACCGCTGATGGGCCTTGTGGACTTCACTACCTGGCAACCATCGGTTGGATCCATGTCATGTTGCGCTCGACACAACCGCAGGTCTGCAGCACGAGACTATGAGACCTTTGGATTGATTTGCAAGGCGTGACCGATTTTATTCGTAGAGCGCGTTGTGTCACTGTTGAAGGCTGCGAAGTTCGAGATCGCCGCGCAACTCGCAACCTCAGCACGTTCCATAAATACCTCTTATCACTTTTGCATTTGAAGCTTAAATGTTCGCAGCGGGCCACATTCCAAACGCATTCGGCATCGCATCAATCCAGCCACTTAAGGTGGTGGCAAAGTAACCCTCGTATCGGCGGTCAGCTTGCACTCGGGGCAGCGATGGAGCCGCTACCATTACCCCCCGCGGAGCTCAAAGCGCTGACGCCGTTCATTCAGCGCAGCAATGAGCTTCTCAAGGCGGACCCCATCATGTCATACTGGTGCACTTTCTATGCTGCGCAGCAAGGGATCAGCGCTAAGCGGCAGGACAAAGAGTCCACCGAAATGCTGATGAAAGTGCTCGATTCGCTCGAGGTGGTCCGTCCCCGTTGTCGATGTGTCGTGACTTGGCCCTGAAGACTGCGCTGACATAACTCCTTTGGCATGTACTGCAGCGAAAAATCGCACTAAAGCAACAACCCGCCATCACGGACGACACGATTGGGAACGCTTATGTGGAAAACTTTGCGCTCAAGGTCTTCGTCGGCGCTGACAACGAAGATCGCACGGGCAAGGCGACTCGGTGCGTTCAGCTCACAACGCCAAACTCACCGTGCTTTGACTTGTCTAATCGCAAATGAGCGCTTCCATGTGTACAGGAATACTGCCAAAAAGTTTATCGCTGCCAGCAATTTTCTTGAGCTGCTTAAGCTTTTCGGTGACCTCAAACCAGAGGTATGCCACTCACGGATGGGTGCTTCAAGCCTTGCACGGTTCCAAGCTGACAACTTGCTCATAACAGATCGAGGAGAAGGTTAAATATGCAAAGTGGAAGGCAGGGGACATTGCAAAAGCTTTCAGAGAAGGTCGCACACCGCAACCGGGACCGCCGGGTGGACTAGAGTCCGAGCCGTCAATCAAGGGCGGGCCGCCCTACCAGGACGAAGATGACTACGTCGCGCGGGAGATGGCCAAGCTCATGAACGAAGCGAGCAGTGCGCCGAGTGTTCCACCATCTGCACCATCTGTGACTGATGCAGACAAATATGCCCCAGGTGGGGCAGTGGCGACTGCCATCTCACCCGGAATCTCAGAGAGCGATTCCATTGCCCCCTTTGGTGCGCCAGGGGATGCGGACGAGGAAGCACGCAAACGAGAACGCAGTGCGAGTGTAGCGCGCAGGAAGGCGCAGCTTAGCGTCACCTCATCTCCCGCCGTTGGCTCCCCCAACTTTTCCATGCCCTTGCGCCATCCCGTCTCGCGCGAGCCTTCCTCGAGCGATGGCAGGTTTGCCAGCAGTGGCTCACAGTCACAGTCACCACCGCCGCCCTTGCCGATGACTCCGCCTTCCGGGGGTAGTCTCACGCTGCCCATTCCGCCGAGCGGGAGCGCGCCTCCTACCCTACCAGCGGGCTCTGCCTTCCTCAGCATTCCACAAGGTGTCCCTGGATCAGGGCTTGACTCGCAACCGGCATCAGTCATTGGCGCCGGCGGAGAAGGCGGGGCTCTGGCTTCGCGGCCTCTCCCCACTCCGCCACCGAGAGACGGCTTGCCAATCCCGCCGCAGCAAAGACCGAGTTCGTTCCTGCAGCAAGGAACGCACGCGACTAGCTCCAACTTCCACCCCCACCAGCCTCAATATACGCATACCCACCTGCACTCGCAGCAGGCAGCGCCTTCTGCGCCGCCGCTGCCTCTCCCACTATCTGGCTTACCGTCGCCACCTTCGGCAGGAAACCCGTATCACTTGCC